TATAATAGATCAAATAATCCCTACTTTTGTTCCTGGACTTTTCTTAAAATAGCTCAGTAGTTACAACTTCTAGTTTGTCGGTTTTTTCATCGATAAGTTTGTTAAAAAACCAGCTTTAAGATGGTGTACATTTAAAGTATAATTTTGACGTTTTTTAGGAACTCTATTATAAATTGTATTTAAGACGACATAGACTTGTGATAATTTTTATCCACATTGTAGTTGCCGTTGATTTTGGTGAAAAATTGGGCTTACCCTGCATTTTGTCAGTGTTCTGTGTGATTCTTAGGGCGCGGAAGCGGGAAAAACTATCTTGCTAGATCAAATGGTTTAGGTATTTACTATCAAATAATATCTTGCAAAAACTATACGATACCACCTAAGTATATTATCTAAAGAATGTGCTAATGTGTTACACGGTACGTTGTACTTTATCCGATCATATAAAATCCTGAAAACCGGCTAAAATAAAAGTTTAAAGCGAATTTATTTGAGAGCTAAATATATAACTTTGTACCTAATTTTTAAAAGGAGATATTTCTTTTTAAGTACTATGGAGAACTTGCAAAATTTTGGTTTTTAACTCAAGCCCTATTAGTTATTAAAGTCACATTTATCCCAAAAATTGTAAATTGCCAAGAGGTCTAACGACACGTCGCGTCGCCCGTTGCCCCGTCAGTCGCCATCGGGCGCTCGTCGGCATCGAATCTGTGTCAAATTTTAAGGAGAAAATATTGTTTTATTTTATTGATATTATTGTTTTATTTTATTAACAACGCACAACAACAACGCACACACTCAACATAGCCCCGCGCTAGGGAAACCCTGTATCGCGGGTGCCATGGACACACACGAGAGAAATAAATGTAGGTCATACAAATATTTCTCCCGGCCCGGGAATCGAACCTGGGACCTCTGCGTGGCAGTCCGGCGTGGTAACCTTTCGGCCACGGAGGCAGGTAAATTTTAGAGGCATTTTATTGATACTAATTTACAACGAGCGGATTAGCGGATGAACGGATATAACAATTTCACTACAATGTCGTCTTATTTACCCACGCGTAATAAAGCAATACAGATAATACAAAATACTACGATAAGACGACAAGTAACAAATAAAAATGCTGGTAATCTTGTTTCGTGGTAATCTACAACTACCTTATTAAAATCATACTAATCCCTTTGTTCCGTAACATTTTTAAAAAAATCTCAAATTCTATAATTCGTAGTACAGAAATTATTACATCGATAAGTTTTTTATAACATTGCTTATAGAATTTCATTCAAAACTTTTTCAACTTTGAAATAAAAAACAATTATGACGCAGCATATTGATATCTATCAGACCATATGGATTGGATTTAACAGTATTATTACTTAATCTCCTTGTTCCTAAAGATTTTTCTAAATATCTCGGCAAATATAACTTTCTTGTCAAAAATTCTTACAGCGATAAGATTTTTCACAAATTTCCTATAAGATTTCATAATCAAAAAATAACATTTCAGGTTAACTAATGTGACGTCATTATTGATAATCAAATTAGTGTTATATATAAATATGACTGTTTTGAATTAACTTATGACTTGCAATTAAGCAATAAGTTATCACCATTATGGAAGAAATGATACAATTAGAAAACAAATTACCTTATCGTATTATGGTCGAGTACAACGTCCGTAAATAGGTACCACTAGTAGATACCCAAATTGCGGGTTGTTGAATTCTTTTCGAGGGTGCTTTGTCGAAAAATAAACGCCCAGTAAGATATTGGATTAAAATATTGATTGTAAAATAATAATGATAATAATTAGAATAATAAACGAAACACAAAAGAATAGTAACAACTTGTATTGTAAATAGCTATGATTGCGACCAACTGTCCGAGAACACATTAGCAACCTAGTCAAGAACGAGTAACTCATTCAATAAGACAACCGCTCTGGTGGTCAGTTTTGGTTTTTTATTATTTATTCTGCATATCCGGCCCTCACTTACCTAGAGTCTTGGCGATGTTCTATACGTTCTGTATAAGACACTCATGCTTGCCGGCTGACATGATGAAAACTGTGGTGGTGCCAATTGTCAAAAATAAAACAGGAGATATTGGCAATAAAGATAACTTATAGGCCGATCTCGCTGGCGACGATTATTACGAAGTGCTTGATGGTCTGCTTAATACCCAGAATGCTCAATTTATAACATTGCATGACAACCAGTTTCGTTTCAGGCCTGGCTTATTGATTGAAAGTGATATCTTGGCCATAAAGCAGACTGCCAAATACCGCACGAACGGCCATACACAGGTATATGCGTGTTACCTAGTCCTGTCCAAAGCATTTGACTTGGTATGTTATGATATTATGTGGGGCAAACTTAAAGATAAGAATATGCCTACAGAATTAAATAATATCTTTAAATTCTGGTATCAAAACCAGATCAATGTTGTGAGATGGGCGGGGACATATTCCGAGTCGTATCGTTTGCAGTGTGGGGTAAGACAGGGGGGACTGACCTCACCGATGCTATTCAACTTATACCAAAACGCGCTGATAGAGGGGCTCGGCAGCACACATGTCGGCTGTCATATTTACGAAATATGAGACAATTTAGCTACGCGGACGACATAGTGCTGAAGAGTGCCTCCGTATGTGGACTTGACAAATTGATCAGCATTTGCGAAAGGTATGCTGTTGAACACGGGCTGAAATATTGCACGCAAGCAAGAGTCAGTGCATGGTTTTCAGGGTCAGGGTGAAACCAACTCCGGATATTCCAAATATTCATTTAAATTGAGAACTACTCTTGAGGTAGTTACCAGATTTAAGTACCTAGGGCATCTGGTGACGGCTGATCTTAGAGATGATGAAGATATTGAGCGTGAACGCAGGGCGTTGTCAGTAAGAGCCAATGTGATTGCCCGCAGATTCGGTCATTGTTCAATTGAAGTGAAGGTAACTCTATTTAAAGCCTTTTATACATCTTTGTATACAAGCGGATTGTGGGCGGATTATACGCAAATGCAGTACACTGCTCTGCGTGTACGATTCAATGACTCATTCAGGGTGCTGCTGTGGCTGCCCAGGTACTGTAGCGCTTCAGGGATGTTCGCAGAGGCGCGGTTAGATTGTTTCCACGCAATAATGCGCAAGCGATGCACTTCCTTGGTGCGCAGGATGCGGGCCAGCGCCAACAGCATCTTGACCATTTTAGCTGGCGGGCCTGATTACGTAAACCACTGTAGTAATTGTAATTCAATTTTGATTACTTGAATTAATTTTACATATTTGGACATTATTTAAAATGAATGTACTGTATTTAATAATGTGATATAATTCTATGTATTAGTATAATTATGGACTTGTTGTCTGATAAAAAAACATTTGATTAAATTTTACCAACTTCTACTGTCCCGATTTTTTTCGTCCCATACAGTGAAATGATCCTTACATGAAACCGAGTCGATCAGCGCTAAAAAAAATTTGATCAACTTTATTTTTATGAACAACTGGCACTTGACCAAAGAATTGCAAATAAAAGCAGTAGACTTTGAAGTCGTGGCCCGAACTTAGGAGCGTAGAAATTTAAAAATACCATTACCGCTCTAGAGTCATAGCAAAAAAATACCGCTCTACTTACGAGCAACTATAATTGAAAAGTATTTTAAGTATTCTAAATATTATTATATTTAATAAAACAAAGAATGACAGCCTACTTGCGAAAACGCTTGCTTCTTATGCAGATAGCTCTTGAGTTCGGTTCCACCGGGGACCTGACACAATATTTTCAAATCATGTGCATAGTTTGATATTCACGTGATGAAAAGGATCTCTCAACTCTTCGAACACGTTTGAGGCCCTCAACCCGTGTTACAGGAAACTTACAGTGACAGTGGGACGTGTAGGTAATGATGATAAAAATAAAACAAAAAATAATTATAATACCCAATATATCCAGTCTTGTAAAATTTAAAATATAAAAATATAAAGCACTTTTCACTAGAGGTAGATTAATTAACAAATTAATAAAATTAATTAAGTTTATTAACAACAACACAACACACGTCTCAACACTTAAATTAGTAATTAAATTATTTATTGTTTTAGTATTTAGTTTCGGTCATAAAAAAATAAAGGGGTAATTTTCAGGTTAGTTTTCTCTACCTAATTTTGGTGGCAATTTCTATTATATAAATATTCTAGAATATTATGTTTATGGAGTATTTATTACATTTAATATTCGAGTGTATATATGTATAAATATTATCTTATATATCATTATAATATACTCGAATACTTAAATAATAAAAATTGCCACCGAAATTAAGTGGAGAACATAAACCTGAAAATTACCCAATTTCATATCTTTAGGCATAAAATTTATTTGCTTAGTACTCTATGGTAACGCATTTGGTTTTAAGGTACTCGTTCAGTGCATCTTGACCTGTAACAAAACGAAAAAAATTAGTAAATAATTCATTTTCATTGTCCAAGTACTGTCTTTTGTAGTGGAAACCTGTGTCAAAATCCTCATTATCGCCTTCGCCTCGTTAAAGGCTCCAGTATATCCAAAGAATAACAGAATGATCGAAAGGGGAAACATTGCGGTCCTTGATTAAATTTACTAAGTGACTGGGCAAACAAGTCGCGCATATTTTTATTTATTTATACATTTATTGATATTTTATTTATAAGTGGTTATGTATATACATATATACATATTTACATTTTATTTCTATTTAATGATCACACTTCCATAATCGTGATACTAATGATGGTATTAAAATATCAATATGTGGATACTTTTCAATTTAGTGTAATTTAGTGCATCTAGAATTTTAGCGCCTCACCTAAGTCTTTGCCAAAGCCTGACTGCTTAAATCCTCCAAAAGGCGCAGCGACATCGGTCTTGTTGTAAGTGTTGATGAAGACAGTGCCGGCTTCTATGCGCTCAGAGAACTGCATTGCCCGAGACAGGTCTTTCGTGAACACGCCTGAGGCGAGACCGTATTCCGTGTTGTTCGCTCGACGGATTACGTCGTCGATATTCCTGGGAGGCAATTAATTGGGTTAGAATTTAACAATGTGCAGGATTAATACTGTTTTTGAGATACAGTTAAGGAAAGCTATCGCTAGGCTAGAGAAATGCAAAGGTACATACTTTAGTACAACCAATTAATGACAATTTTGATGAAAATTCTTGTAAATTTCACCTTTACGTGTTTTTGTTTTTAAATACCTATAAATATTGAAAAGCAGAAATTATTGATAGTGTTGAAACAAAAAGCCGTTTATTTTTGGTTGTGTTATTATAGAGGTACTATAGATAGACGGTACTATAAGTCATTTCGAGTTTGTGGTTCAACTGTACTGTCCAACTAGTTGGGCTACGACGTCTCAGTAGAGATGGTGCAACTAACTCTCTTATGTCTATTACTCTTGTCTTTAAACTCATGGTTCAATTGAATTTATTGAATTAGGTATATTATAATGAGTTCGCAAAAAAGAACGTGTTTTTGCCACTAGCTAACTTTAAACAAAAAAAAGATCTTTTTTAAATTTTATATTGTCTATGGTCATTAAATTTTAAAACGGTCATTCTCGGACTAGTCTTCGCTACCTGATTTCCGTGGCAATTTTTATTACTTAAGAATTCCATTTCGTGTCGTGCAATGTATTTTAATATTCGAGTATTGTATCGTGAAATATTATTTAATAATTACATGAATATTTAAACAATAAAAATTGCCACGTAAATTAAGTAATGAACACTAGTCTGTGAATGACTGAAAGGTATACTTCCGTCATTGACTTACAATTATATGGACGTCGGGTCCGCGCTAAAAAGTGTCCGAACTTATAGGGCGTTAAAATCGTATACAGAGCGCCATTCACATTCTAGTCTTCGTTTGTTCGACTGACAGCGAAGTAAGCAAAATTAGACAGTACTGCGATGACATTACAATTTTGAATTAAACGTTTTAGCTTTTCCATATTCCTTGAAATGTCACTACGTTTAAATAGGTTGAACTGGGACATTTTTTTCGTGGTTTTTGTGTTAGACCCGTCGTCCATTTATTTGTAAGTCAATGACTTCCGTAAATAAACGGGAAAGTTTGAAGTATATAATTTCATGAAAAACGTCCACGACTGGTGAATCGTAACCGGTGTCGTATTTTATTATAATAATGCTAAATTATACACATCTTTGCGAAGCCGCTAGCCGTGAAACACGATTGCAGTTAGGTCGGGATGTGTCCCAACATGGGCTATGTTGGGACACGTACCAACCTAACTTACCTTCGGGTTTTCACTTGTTTGGGTCTTTACAAAATTCTTCCAATGGACACGATTTGGATAAATAGTAAAATTAATCGATACTAACTTGCTGCTGAATTTGCTGATAATCATAATAGGGCCGAAAGACTCTTCTTTGGCGAGGAACATGTCGTCTTTGACGTTAGTGAAGATTGTAGGCTCGAAGAAGTATCCTGGCCGAGACAACCGCTTGCCGCCGTATACTAACTTGGCACCTTCTTTTACGCCCCTTTCGCAGAACTGCGGGTTTATGAAATTATTTATTATAGAGTATGTAGGCGGTGATGGCGGTGGTATTGCGAGTAAGTGTAATGGAGATCATTATAGTAGACATAGAAATGAGATTCCAATGAAAGTTATAAATTATATTATAATATTTTTCCACTATAAATCCAAACAAAACCTTTCTAGTCATAGAAATCTATTCTAGATGTTTATCGTAACGGCGGTCTTTTTTAAAAATTTCTTATTTCGATAAAACATATTCTTAATGAAACAAAGTAATTAACAAAATAAGTTGATGTCACGATTCGTGAAGAGGTGATGACGACAGTTCACATTTTTTTACGATATCAAGTGACTGGACGAACTAGTCGCGCGCCTGGTGTCAAGCGACAGGCCTGTCGATAGCAGTTGCAGTGCCACTCAGAGCTTTAAATCGCAAGTTCTAAGGGGCACTGCCACTGCGTACGTCACCGTGAGACATAAATTGACTTGAATCACACCAGCACCCTTCAAAAAGTATATAACTCGTCTATCTTAGTTTCATTTACATTTTTTTGATCCAGGTTTAGTTGCTTTAGTATCTACTCATTATTACTCCTAGCACAGGAACTTTCCTAGCTTGCTCTTAATGAGATATGATTTCGAGGCGGTGCTTTAAAATGTAGAATAACTAACCTCAAGGAGCTTATTCATATGAGCTTTATGGTTCTGCGGGCCATGTGCCGTGCCCCTGTGCAATGGGTCGCCGATAGCAATCTTCTTGGTCTCAGCGACGACACGGCGAACGAACTCGTCGTGGATGCTCTCCTCGACAAATAATCGCCCGGCAGCTATGCAGTTCTCGCCCTTGTTGAAGAATACTGACGCCATGCCCTGGAAAATTAATAAATGGTTGTAATAATCTGTAACACTCCTTTTGCACATTTGAATTTTGAGTTATATGTCGTGGGCTAAATTTGAAAACCTCGTCTAAAAAACTCTATTTTTGGACGAAATTTTTTACTGTTCAATCCAAGATTGGGCAATTAAAGCTTAAAATATTATTTGTAGACCCTGTTTTAGTTATAAAGTAAAGGTATATCACACATTGTCAAACAATTATTTCCAATAATTCTGTTTTTTTGTGTTTATTCAAAAGTTCACATTAATGGAGGTTACGAGGTTTATGAAGCTAGCCGCCTATGTGTAGCGTACGTACATTTATAATATATTGTAAAGTTATTATCTATATAAGATTGTATATTAACTTTAAAAGAATGTAGCAAAAACATCGAATTTGCTAAAAATATAGAATGAAAGAAAAGCATCAACACTCAAACAAACCTTTTTAGATTTAAGAGTACCAAGATTGTAAAGTATTTATAAGTATAATTGTTAACTTTAATTAAAATAAAAAGCAAATTTTTATGTGGTTCATCAACGGAAATCAATATGGTATAATGATAGATATTTTTACGATTTACAAACAGATTGTTTCAGTTCACTTTTTATTATTATGAATTTAAATTACTTAATTTGACTTATTTATCATTGTATCAAACTAGATACAAAGTTCTGTAATTACTATACATCAGTAAAATAATTATAAAAATACGTAGAGGCAGTTGAGAAAATCGAGCACATTCGGGATCGTTTGTAAACTACTAACAACTTCCCATGACTATATTATTAACATCACAAACAACAACTTTCTGTCCTGAATTACTGGAAAAGTCCTTACATTTCTGACAGCCTTGTCAAGATCACAGTCCTCAAAAATGACGAGTGGCGACTTGCCTCCCAGCTCAAGCGACACCTTCTTCATGTTCGACGCACACGTTTTCATTATTACCTGTCCTGTGAAAGAATATCCATAATAATAAAAAAGAAGAAGCATTAGAATATAAAAATGAAATTCAGCTTGTAATGGAGACTACACTTTCATTCTGTCCAGCTTGTTATACCCATCTTCATAATAATATTCCATGTGTCTTTTCGTACTGACTTATAACATATTTCCGCTGCCGAGCACGAGTCTCTATGGCAACAGTTTTAGCCTATAGGTTACGCGTTTGAAGTTCACGCGTTTTCGAGAAATTATGAGTAATTAATTGGACATGCAGAAGTAGTTAACTAGCTTCGATTAATTAGCAGGTTTCGAAGACTCAATAGTGAAACCCCCTAGATAATCTAATCTACAATCTCTTATATAGGTTATGTCATGCACAAACCAGGACCATCATCCTATCAGTACGCACTCTGGGTGCCAGACATGGGTGATAGTCAGAATGGCGGGTACACCTTAACGGATTTTGACAAATTTAGTATCAAAAAATGTACCTAAATTGTACTATTTAATACCTGTGTTTAAATAAATTTACCTCCATCAGAACGAAGTTATAGCAATATCAAAGGGAAAACCGACGTATTGACAGTCAATATGGCGGGTGTACCTCAAATTAACAATTATTATTTAATAACATTGACTATAATTGTAAGTCAATGTTTATAACTATAAAAACTTATTATACCAAAAAATTGTACCTTAATAGTACTCAATCTGCTGGTTAGTTTCTGAGATATGAAATTAGATTTTAGAGTAGCGTGTGCAACGAATCCTGACAGATTTAGTACGAAAAAAATGTACCTAAATTGTACTATTTAGTACCTGTGTTTAAATAAATTGTAACTCTATCAGAACGAAGTTATAGCGAAATCAAAATTGTAAATATTGTCGTAATTTTTTTTAAATAAATTTTCCGCCATTTTAGGTGTTTCGGGTTCGACGCTAATATAGTTAGTTATTCTGGTACTCAACGTCTGTGTTCTACATAAATAAGTGAAGTAAATTTGCCATAGAGCTAGGCAGGTGTTCATGATATTTACCAATTTCAGTGCTTCCAGTGAACCCGAGTTTCCTCACAAGCGGGTGTTCCGCCAGCGCTTGGCCGGTGACGGTGCCGGAACCAGGGACGATGTTGATCACGCCAGCGGGAATGCCTGCCAGGACAGACAGCTCTGCGAACTTGAGGGCCGTTAGAGGACACACCTAAGGGAAAAATGGTATTTTAAAGTATTAATTTTATAGTCGTACGCCTGTTCACAACAAGTGCAGTGCCACTTAGCACTTTAAGCAAATCACAAAGATCTGAGGGGCAGTGCCGCTGCGCCCGTCACCCTGAGACCAGTTGAAAAGTCCGATGTGGCTGTAATTTCATCATAGCGTTCTTTCAAATTTCAATAATCGAGAAAGAAAATATCAAGAACTGGAAGTTAACTTATTGGTTAGCATACTGGGTTAAAAGCACGAGAAGCTTGACAATTTAAACTCAACTCTATGCTGTTTACTATAAGAGTGGTCTAAAATTTGATTTGCTCTTGATTGTATTAGGTCTAATAATCTAGTGTTCGTCTAGAAGAAATCGTCTGCCGGTTTTGGTTTTTATTTTTTTATGATACTAAGTGACGGGGTGAACAAGTTGTGCGCTTGATGGTAAGCGACACGCAAAGATCTGAAAGGCACTGCCATTGCGCCCGTCACCCGACAGACGTTGAAAAGTCCAATGTACCTGTAATTTCACCCGCACCCTTACCGTTCAAAACCGGAATGCAGTAATGCTCACATTATTGCTTGGCGGCAGAAATAGGTAAGGTGGCAGTATTTCACTGGACGAACTCTTTTACAAGGAACTCTAATACAACTAAATTTGTATTCAATTATGTACAAAAGTAACTTTGTTACTAATCGGCGCTCGGCCGAAGAATGTTTGAACAAGTTCGTATTATTTATATGATTTTCATGTTATAAAACCGCTTTTGACGTACGATTTGTTTTTTCAAAACAAAGCAACGTTTCGTGCTCTTTGTAAATCCCACGGTCACGGTTGACTCAGCTAGTCGATTCCAAATAAGTTGATTTGATTATTTCATGGAACAGCTATTACATATATTTAAATACGAAGGGATGGCCACGCCTTGAATAATCTACCCTAATAATAATACAGACGTTACTTGATGAAAATATGCATTAGATTTTATTTTTTGCCCCAAATAGCAAAAAAAATTTGCTGTTTCATATTCAACCCATTCACGTCCCACTACTGGATATGAGCTTTCTCCAATAAGGGGGTCTCCTTCACTTTTCCACGGGTCGTGAATCTTCGATATGCAGGTTCATTAGTGAGAGAAATTGTAATTAGCATTCACAAATGTTACTGTGGCATCGTGAGTCTATGAGGTCATTAAAAAAAAATGTAACACCTGTTGCGGTTCTTGCACCACCTTTTCATAAACTTCTTTTAAATAAATTTAAAGTAACAACTGAGGGAGAGGTAAACGTAGTATTTATAGTAGTACGCTGTCTTAATTTGACAAATAATCGGCAGAAACAATGTTTAAATGACAACACCATCAAGTGTTTGATAAATATTAGTACGAATTAGTGAATGAAACGACAAAATTGCAAAAAGTTTGCCAGATTACAAGCAGAAATGGTGGCTTAAAGTTTTTACTTTGACAAACAATTAGTACAAACGGGTTTAAATAGTAACTGAACCTGAAAGAGAGAATCTGTTTGTCGAAAGACTGTCATTCGAATTACTCAATTAGCCGGCAGAATTTGTAAATACAACCTCTAGTCAAAGTAGCTGGTGTTACATGCGCTATAGAATTACTCTACATTTATTTATATATAACCTTTCTCCTTTTACCTTTAAAAGTTCTAATTATTATGTACGCAATGCTTACGGCAGCGGGTTTCATGACGACGGTATTGCCAGCTGCGAGACAGGCAGCCATCTTCCATGATAGCATCATCAGAGGATAGTTCCATGGTGTGATAAGTGCGCATACGCCGATTGGCTCCTTCTTTGTAATTGTAAGGTTCCTGTAAGGTTATTTTTACTAAGTTATTATATTATTAAAAAACGAAACCCCAAATTTGAGTATTTTTTGGGTGGAATGTTTTATCTATCTCAGGTACTATAAGGACAATAGATTTATTATAACTTTAAGTGAGTATATTTATTATTTTGTGATATCTTTTGGAGGTACTCGAGACGCGTCAGACAAATATTACGATTAAAATGTAGCGAGTTTCAAAAAGGTAGGATCTGAAAAACAGCTTAAGCTGAGACTCTATCCTTTTTATCTACACAATATCTATAAGTGATGTTATTTACGACTAAATTGTTTTGTAAATGTAGATAAATAAAGTTCTTTATTATTATTATTATTTAACACGTATTTTATATTTATGTTTTCCCTAAACAAAATATTTGAGTTACATTTAAATAGATTCTTTATACGTGAAAAATATTTAGGAGGTTTATAAATGTCCTAAATTTCTCTACTATCAATAAAATTATAATAGATAATAGAACATTGCAGCCTGATAATAAAAATTGTATAAAAAGCTTTTGCACGTTTATTCAAGGGGACTTTATTGTTTGGTAATATATGAAGGGTCATTATGGTTTCAACATTTATATCATATTATCTCGAGATACTAGCAATGCATATTAGACAACATCATATCGCACTGCTATTAAAATAGTGTTATAACTCAAAATATGTGAAATTCAAGATGATATCGCATTACTAATACAATAGTGTATGACTCAAAATATGAATTTATTCAGTATAGCTGAAAAACGAATTAGTCGGTTCCCGCGAGATTATTATAATTTTTTTATAGGTTACAGTTTATTAAACATCTGAACAATTTCCTACTTGCCAAATGGAAGTATATTTAAAAACAAGTGAAAAATAATTTAATATTTTTGAGTGAGAACTGGTGTCCTGAACTAGCTCATAAAACGTTTGTCTAATTCTGGGTTAAGTGTCAAATTTTAGGTTTAGAAATGGTATAATCTTAACTTTCACATTTTTTGAGTTATAACACTATTGTACTAGTAGTGTGATATCATTGGTGAACATAAAATTTGATTCCCTATACTTCAATAAAACCGTCGGTCGTTAGAATATTGTAAGAAACAATAAAAAAATACTTATTTAAAAATGAGCTACTTCTGACCAAAAAAGTCCTTACGCAAAAATATGAAATTATTTTTTCCCTTATTTTTAAATATATTTGGCAAGTAGGACATTATTTAGATGTCAGTTACAAACTTTAACCTAGATATATATTTTAATGATCTTTTACGAGAAATGAGTAATTCGTTTTTCATCGGTTCTGAAAAAATACACTTTAGAGTTAATACACTATTGTACTAACGGTGCGATATACGTTGCTCTAATCAAAGTAAGTAACCGAAAAACTTTTTTATAATATCAAGTGGCGGGACGAACAAGTCATGCGCCTGATGGTAAGCTACACGCCTGTTCATAACTTGTGTTATAGAAATCTAAAATAACGGCGGTACCACAAACATCCAGATCGGAGGCGATGCAGAACAGTTTTTCTACATTGATCCGACCGGGCGGGGATCGAATCCGGGACCTCATAGATGACGACACCATGAAAACCAGTATGCAAGCAAAACTCAATCACGGAGGTCATCAATGAATGTTGGACAAATATATAATGTACAGTAATTATGTATATCTTACCTATTAGGTCGTGCATGGTTAATAGGAATAGTGGAGCCCTGTATCTTGTCGCACCAACCAGCGAAGTACCGCCACGTCTCTATGGACATACCGACGTGGGTTTTGAGTGCGAGAGTGTACACGGCACCTGAGTCTATCGACTCTATGGTCGCTAGCTCTTCTTTGTGTTGCTCCATTAGGTCGGCCAATCTGTTAAAAAATAATAATAATAAAGCACACGTTTATAGCTAGGGAAACCCAGTATCGCGGGTGCCATTTACACATAGATAGACAACCACAAATTATACCCAACAAGAGAAAAAATGAAGGCCAGACAAATATTTCTCCCAGGATGGTAACCTTTTGAACACGAAGGCAGTAAATCTTTTTTTGTAACTAATTTGGGATCATTAAATTTGCAGAGGTTTGTAAAAATAAATAATAATAATAAGCCCGTTACACCAAGTACCAAGTACCAAGTATCAACGCACACACTCAACATAGCCCCGCACTAGGGAAACCCTGGTCGCGGGTGCCACGGACACACACATAGATAACCACAAATTACACCCAAACTCACGAGAGAAATAAATGTAGGCCATACAAATATTTCTCCCGGCCCAGGAATCGAACCTGGGACCTCTGCGTGGCAGTCCGGCATGGTAACCGTTCGGCCACGAAGGCATTTCGTGCTATTAGACAATATATATTTGACAATATCACATACGACGCTTCGATCCCAAAGTAAGTAACTAAATCACTTGTGTTATGGAAATCCAAAACAATGAGACGGTAGCACAAACACCCAGCCCCGAGGCAATATAAAAAAATAATAGTTTCTACATTGACCCGGCCGGGGATCGAACGCGGGACCTCAGAGATGGCGACACCATGAAAACCGGTGTGCAAGCCACTCGACCACAGACGTCGTCAGACATATTTATTTTTAGTTTTTTACCACTTTAGGGTGGTTTGTGTTAATATTAGACACGTGATGACTACCATCTCAATCAACCGTGATTATAGGAACTGTGAAGGGTCCGAAACGTTGAAAAAACAAATATACGCGATTTAGATCCTAAAAAATAAGTTTCATTTCCAATGTTATAATGTCGATTAATTAATTTTGGCTAAATGCGTTGCGGAATTCCCGAGAATGCTAATTGTAATCTAATAATTCTCCGGAAGTCACGCGACCGGTTGTTTAGCTTGTTTGTATGTTATACAAATGACACAAAGTTCATTATAACAACAACGCAAACACTCAACATAGCCCCGCACTAGGGACATCCTGTATCCCGAGTGCCATGGACACACACATAGACAACCACAAATTACACCCAAACTCGAGAGAAACAAATGTAGGCCATTCAAATATTTATCCCGGCCCGGGAAAAGAACAAGGGACCTCTGCGTGGCAGCATGGCAACCGTTCGGCCACGGAGGCAGTTCTGCTATGGATACGAAAATTCGCATGTATTCCGTTCTTCAGCTATGTAAACTGAGCTCCATTTGGAGTATAAAATAAATAAAAAAGTAAATTACTTTTATTAACTTACTTGAACAATAATGCAGCTCGCTCCCTAGCGCTGATCTTGTTCCATTCACCCTCCTCAAACGCCTTTTTCGCAGCTTTGACAGCTCTGTCCACATCACTGATAGACGCACATTGTACCTTACAAATCACACTTTCATCGGTCGGGTTCACTATTTCCATACTTTTACCGCTATCAGAATTAACAAACTGTCCATCAATAAACAACTGGGTAGGGAATTTTATTCTCATCTTATTGACACCCATCTCCACGCCTTCGTAGACAACTTCTTTAGCACCATTACCGCCTCTACCTATAAACACAGCTGCGGTACAGAACTCCTCAAAAGTTGTATTCATGTAAATATCTTCATTCTGGAGTTCAATGTTTCCCAAATCCTTGACTTCTTCCACCAATCTGACAACGTCCATGGAACCAGCGCCTGATTCGAAGAAATCTGTTTCCTCTTCAATATCGATACGTAATATCGCTTTCCATATATTGCGAGCGTTCTCTACAAATTGTTTTTCTTCTGGTGTTAATTCTAGTGTGACCTTCTTGTTGTTTGCTTTGAAGAAGTTTTGTGCATTTATCATTTTACCATTCACTTTTAAACGTTGGATGTTGAGCTGAGGAGTTATAAATTTAAATGTAAGGTTTAAAGGTTTCAATACAGTTACAAGTGAAAATATGAGAAAATAGAAAATGATGCCAGTGATAGCCAAACATTTTCTATTATCTTCATTTATAAGATGACTCTACAAGCGTATCTATTATTACTTAATCTGTTTAATGAATGATATTGCTTTGCAGTGGCGAGACGTAACACTTTTCGTTAGTAAATCCGGAGTAAAAATGAACACTTACTTTAATAAAAACCGTAATTCGGTTATTCTCGGACTAGTGTTGTTGCTGTTTAACTGGCTTCGTGGCCTAATGGTTACCATACCGGACTGCCACGCAGAGGTCTCAGGTTCAATTCCCGGGCCGGGAGAAATATTTGTATGGCCTACATTTATTTCTCTCGTGAGTTTGTGTGTAATTTGTGGTTGTCTATGTGTGCGTCCAGGGCACCCGCAACACAGGGTTTCACTACTGCGGGGCTATGTTGAGTGTATGCGTGTATGCTTTATTAGTGTTCACTACCTAAATCACGTGGCAATTTTTATTATTTAAATATTCAAGTATAATATCGTGTAATTATTAAATAATATTTCACGATACAATACTCCAACATTAAATAATATTGGACAATACAAAATCGAATACTTCAATAATAAAAATTGCCACGGTAATTAGGTAGTGAACACAAGTCCGAGAATAACCGAATTATAGAAAAATGGCTTTGATCCGGCTGGATTCGAACCAGCGCCTTCAGCACTAGCGATGCGCGATTGTGAATGATTTCGATATTCAACTTGTTAGATAGTAATTATCTTGTCATTCGGATGACAAATTAATAACCTACTAATTTTCGTATTTGGTATTAAAGTGGCAGTGGGCGGGGCACATAGCTAGGAGAACCGATGGCCGATCGAATGGCAGGGCCATTCGGTATCGATAATCATTCGACTCGGGTCGGATACGTGTGCTTGGATTCGACTTAGGCGAATGATTTGCCTAGTCTAATGATTAGTGTACATTCAAAGTCGCGCATTGCTATTCAGCGTACCGTGTGTCCGATGTTCTCCCAGCTAAACTACGGAACGAATCTACAGATCTTACGAATTTTTCTATGTGCTTGTAGCAGATCTTCTTGGTTTAAAACGACTATGACGATGATATTCAATAAACTTTTCAGTAGCATAGCTCCTTATGAAAGAGTTCGTCCACCTAACCTATTTCTGCCGCCAAGCAGTAATGTTAGCATTACTGTGTTCCGGTTTTGAAGGATAAGGGTGCTGGTGTAATTACAGGCACATTGTACTTGTCCCAGAGATCTATGCAATTTAAAGCTCTGAGTGGTACTGCAACTGTTATGGACAGGTGTGTAGCTTACCATCAGGCGTACGAGTTGTTCGTCCCGTCACTTGATATTATAGAATAGAATAGACATTTGTTGCAACGCCACAACACATAGATACAAAAAAATATTGATAGCACTTAGACAAAATATTGATAGTAATTAACAAAATTTAAATTAAAAAAAAAAAGTTGATATCGTAATTATAGGTAGGTTTAATATTAATTTAACGTTATTCCACTACAACTCGAAGTGCACCGGGTTATATTTTTACTAATATCTTACAGCGGAATCTTACGAATGTATGATAGTATTTTAAATTGAGCGCGTAGGTTTCTGAGTGAAAATATAACCCGAATTGATGACGGCTTTACCTGGATCCGGTGTTGTGATTGGCTGAGATCAAATGGTTACTATTAGAGGTTACTACGCGTGTATTATTAAATATTTAGAAATTTGGAATCTTAAATTGCATTTTTTAAAACTTAAGTAAGTTATTTTTTTACAATATCAAGTGACCGCACGAACAAGTCGTGCGTCTGGTGGTAAGCGACACGTCTGTCTATAGTAGTTGTAATGCCACTTGGACTGTTAAATTGCAAAGGTTTGAGGGGCACTGCCACTGTTCCCGTCACCCTGCTATATAACGGGTGTGTAATGGAAGATATAACAACAAATAATCTATTTTTACTTTGTATAACATCATTTGATATAATATCTAAGGATATAATAAACATTCAGTATAACAAACGTTAAGATATAATGATTAGGTGACATAGTGAACAAATGGTATAAGTACTACCAGTATTAAATACTATAACACAATATTTCGTTTTACGACTAGCTGAAGCGCCCTATATTATGTTGATATTTTTTTTTTATTTCATTAAATGTAGTACAATCGCAAAATATAATTATTAAAACTTTGATAATAAACAGAATCTTTGATAATAAGCAGAATATTTAATTGCATTAACCTAATCTTAACGTACAGGAAGACGTCGAACCAACTAGCAAATGTAAATAAATTCGGTTCATTCACCTTTGCACCTAAACACCACTGGAATTATATTTATAAAACATTGTACTCAGAATCTGAAGTGTTTATATAAAATGAACATTATGCCGTCGGATATTAGATTAAAGTTGTTATATCAATAGTCTATTATACCTACCCAGGGACCCTTTAAATTATGCAAGAATATGTCAAATGTCTGTATACCGTAAATTAATTATGTCTGTTGAGCGTTATGTCAACTAAAAATATGTCATTTTGGGGTTATATATTACGAACCCCAACCGTTCACATTACTGCTTGGCGGCAGAAACAGGTAAGGTGGCAGTACTTCCCGGGATAAACTCTTTCACAAGGAGCTCGACCTTTAGTTAATTATGTGATGAAGTATGCGCGCTGTATAGTACAGTCTTTTGATAATATTTATTATCAAAAGACTGTACTATATATTTCAGGCAAACGGTGGGAATCCAGCTATATGGACGCCTCGCAATTGTTACTATGTTTCGTCTTTTGAATAAATAATTACCAACCTTTACTCCATCGTTAGCGGTGATCAGGAGACCAGCGTCATGCACCACCGCAGGTCTTTTCAATCCTGGTATCACCAGCTTGTCTCCTTCCATTTCAAACTCTCCCTCCCATAGAGCAGAACCGAAGAATTTCACCTCTATGATTGCTTCGGAATCTTCTATAATTCCTTCTTTTGTTTGTGGTTTGATGATACAAGTTGCGCCGGGAGAGGAGTCCAGACCTCTTATGAAATTGTGTAGATCTTTGCCAGGTTTTGACCAGTCGATCTGTAAACAAAAAAGAAAATGGATATGTGGTACAGGATATGTGTTGTTCTGTACTATATACACACACCAGGAGCACATCGTGAGTAATTATTTAAAAAAGTATGTTAAGGTTTAATGCTATTTAAAAACTACAATTAAATAATTTATTGAGTAATGAAAATTGTACTATCTATATAGTGTCTGAATTTTTAAATGACAAATCTGTAACTTCGTTGTCTAATTGTTGGCATATTATATACATATGTTATTTTTTTTATAATATCTGGTGACGGGACGAACAAGTCGTGCATCTGATGGTAAGCTACACGCCTGTTTAGCTTACCCTTCAAAACCAGAACATAGTAATGCTGACGTTACTGCTTGGCGGCAGAAATAGATACTGGACGAACTCTTTCACAAGGAGCTCTAATGCTACTAAAATTAAACTAAAAAAAATATAATAAAATGCTACTAAAATTATATTAAAGTAGGTTTATATTTGTATGTTATTTTCATATATAAAAAAAATTATATTTTTTGTTTATCATGAATAAATATAAAATAATTATTATATACTTTAGTATCATTTAAAGTAATATTATAGAAAAAAACTAAAAATGGGTTACACCACTTTTGCACTATAGCTTCTTTTATTTCGATGTTATTCATATTATTATAATTTTAATATCTAGGTAACATTTTACAAATTATTACCGTTAGAGTGGACTCAAGTAATTAGTGACCATAGAATAATATTTACTGACTAACTAATTAAATCCATGTGTGCACACCCATGTGATATTATTAAAAAAACATGTACCTTTAGATATATATATATAAAGCATACATACAATACCTCTAGTCGTAGTCTTTCACAATGAGCTCTACCGCTACGAATATATTAGTATATTTTATATTATTTTATAGAATATATAGTGGATATTCTACAAACCTGATGCGTCTCTGGTTTGAACAACGCAGGGTCGTAAGTGGCTCCCTCTTCTGGTTGGTCGATTTTAGGAGCCGTGCCGTTGGCGACCATATTCACAGACTCCGCTAAAGCCTTGATGCCTGAAAACAATATGTGTAATGATATAAATTGTCTAGGCTATGACAAGAGAATTTGCGATTTTGAGTGTAATTTTACAGCAGTTTCCGTCAGGACTAGTGATCGAGATATTTGGATGCTTAAACGTTGACTTTTTGTCGAAACAAGAAAGCGACTTCTTAAAATATATTTTTAGTTCTTTTAAATCCCGAGATGGCGAAATAACCAATATGTTCCGATGTTAAATATATAATATTTTAACTCACTATAAGCTTTAAAGGTCTCATAATGAAAATCACCAGGAACACATCGTCGGCGTTGGTAAAAAGTTCGAAAGCGCCATTTCGAACAATTTTTCAGTTTTTTTACATCCTTTTTAAATTCAATTTTAAAACGTAAACTTAATTAAATCCAAAATTGAACAAATTGAACAGGACGTAAATATTTTAAAACAGTCGTTAAAACCTAAAACACGGAGCGTGTTTTAGGTTAAAATGATTTATACAAAACACGGACGACATATAGTAGACATGTAGGTGAGAGATAAAGAACTTTATGTGCCAAATAGTAATTTTTACTACGGAGCGTTTCTTTTTTGTAATCAAGTGACGGGACGAACAAGTAGTGCGCCTGATGGTAAGCTACACGCCTGTCCATAACAGTTGCAGTGCCACTCAGAGCTTTAAATCTGCAGGGCACTGCCACTGCGCCTGTTACCCTGAGACATAAGTTCACAAGTCCTATGATTTAGATTTATTTATCATCTTGTAAACTTTACATTATTATATACAATATATTGTATTACAAGAATCGTTACAAATAGTAATAAATGTTACATTTCATAAAATTACAAATATCCAGTACAAGTTTTGTACTACGTAATTTTAACATAGTTAATGTAGTTATGTGAAATAATGTAGGAACATATTAAATAATGTGCTTGTAATTTCACCAGCACCCGTACCCTTCAAAACCGGAACACAGTAATGGTGACATTACTGCTTGGCGGCAGAAATAGGTAAGGTGGCAGTACTTCCTTGGACGAACTCTTTCACAAGGAGCTCTACTGCTACTAAAAAAGAAGCGTTTTAAAGAGAATGATATTATAGTCAAATAAAATGTGCTATGAGTCGGTACAACCTCAATGGGCTTTGGTTGATTCCGCATAACAGTGAATGTCGAATCAATATCCCTTTAAAAATATCTATTGTAAAATTGATAACTATACGGTGTAAAAACACTATTCCCAAAAATGTTCACGATAAAAAAACACACTTACTGCGAAGTTTTACAAGACTGCTGTATTCAAAAGGTACTTTACATGTACCAATGACTTCTTTTTTTACATCAACTGAACTAAATACAACACGTATAGTATACGATGTACATTTTTCAAATAGCTTTAATTTGGTTTGTGAAAAAATAAATTCTGAAATAAAACCAGTGTCCCTGCCCCTCGATCCGCGCAATAGAACAGACTCAGTACAGAAAAAAATTTAATTCGAGCTAAGGTGGTATCGACTCTTAAATAAAAAAGAAACGATGATAGGACGCAATGTCTTTTACCATTGCCTAATTTTCAGCATTCTAAAGCAATATTTGTAAAAACGTCTAAATTCCAAAAAATGGTCCTCGTTTACCTCTCACCTACAAATGTATATAACATTGTCAAATTTAAACTTCAACGATGGTACTAGTTTTTGCATTTCGTCGCCTTACTTTCAAACTCGTATCTTAAAGCACAAAGTTACCGGAATGCAAAAAATGGATTGTTTGTACAAATTTTGCAGGCTGATTTCACATTACATTTCCTTCATATTCACACACTGGCTTGTTACCTGTTTTTAAAGTAATGCATCCAAATTGACACCCTTGATAAGAAATTTAAAATAAACAGAAAGTTTTGCCATCTCTTGAATGATCACTCTTTATAATATACGAGTTTGAGAAAGTGAGGCATCATGTGATAAAAGTTAATGTAAATTTTGCATCCAATTAGAAATAACATTTAAAACTTAACAATAACAGTTTAATTTCCTTCAATCACGGTTTTGCGCGGTTTCTTTTTTTTATACATGATTCTAAGTGACGGGGCGAACTAGTCGTGCTCCTGGTGGTAAGCGACACGCCTGTCCATAGCAGTTGCAGTGCCTCTCAGAGCTTTAAACCGCAACTATTGAGTGGCACTGCCACCGCACCCGTCACTCTGGGACATAAGTTGGCAAGTCCCATGTGCTTGTATTTGTACCAGCACCCTTACCCTTCATAACCTCTTAGATACAAATAAGCAGTCTATGTTAGCGAGCAACCGAGTTGTTGACTTTCACACTAGTATGACCATGATTTGGATAAATTCTGCATTAAGCGTATAATGTCGGACGAATCTGTCTCAAATTATGTTTATTATGACCAACCTTCAGGATAAAGATATTTGTTGTAAAGAGTATCAACGGTGTCGTCAAGGGTTACGGGGAAGCTCCTCTGCATGAGCACCGGGCCGGTATCCAGTCCGTCGTCGGCCCAGAAAATTGACAAGCCACATTCTGTGTCACCTTCGATCAGAGTCCTGGAAACGTTTAGAGCGTTTAAAGACATAATTATGTGGTGACACGGAATATTTATAGAGTATCCCCTCCCTTCAGGAATTATTGTACTTTAGTCTATATTGTTATATCGCACCCCTCATGGAGGAATGGCATAAGTTGAGTTAAGTCAAAAATGTTTATTGTTCCATTAGATGCAGAAAAATATAATCCCACATCGTGGCCGTTTCCCTCAGATCTTTGCGATTTAAAGCTCTGAGTGGTAATGCAACTGTTATGGACAGGTGTGTAGCTTATTATTAGGCACACGACTTGTTCGTCCAGTCACTTGATATTATAAAAAAGAAAAGTACATTGAATTTAGAATTTCGAAGAGGTGGCCAAAATGGTTGGATATGGTGTCGGGGGTACCAATTAGGTACTCTGAATCTTAATAGGATCGGAAAGTTGACTTGGTTTCGTAGTAACTTGTAAAGAAAAACAAGATCTAATCTATCCTTACGGTGTTTTATAATTGTAAGTAAACAGGGAGGTATTAGCAACTCTTTATGCGTATTACTTGATGTCTAGACTTATTGCTTTAAATTCAATAAGTCACAATAATAGTGTTAATGGATTTGTTAAGGTAATTTAATACAATACGGATAAACATTGGTTGAAAGACTAAAAAACAATTTATCAACATACCACGAGAGATTCTAGACTATTAATGATATATTAGAGTAGTGATAAGTGATATGATAACTAATAACCTAGTACCTCTACCAGCGTTGTTTAAGATCCCTTCACTTGCTTCGACAATGAAGAAAACATATAACGCACACACTCAACATAGTCCCGCAATAGGGAAACCCTGCGTCGCGGGTGGCATGGACATAGACAACCACAAATTACACCCAAACTCATGAGATAAATAAATGAAGGCCATAGAAATATTTCTCCAGGCCCGGGAATCGAACCTGGGACATCTGCGTGGCAGTCGGCATGGCGACTGTTCGGCCACGGAGGCAGTTAAATATACGGAAACATTTTACTTCACTATTAGAAGTCTTGTGTAGTCCTCAAAGCTCCTCCTTAGTGGAGACAATTACTCAGCAGACATATTTGTTTCATGAGTTTCAGGAAGCTTTAATTTAAATTTAACTGCTCCCGTGACCGAATGCCACGCGGAGGCCCCGGGATCGATTCCCGGGGCCTCCGCGATAATATTACGCACTCCTCATGGGAAAACAGCATAAGTGGAGTTAAGATAAAAACGTTTATTGCTCCATTAAATACAGAAAAATATAACCCACATCCACTCCAATTCCTGTAACCTTTCGACTAATATTGTAGATAGAGTTACAAGAATTGGAGAGGATGTGGGTTACATTTTTCTGTATTTAATAAACATTACTTATTATTTATTTAATATTTATCTAATTTTTCTGTAAAGCCATTTATGCCATTCTTCCATGAGGAGTGCGATTTGTATGATCTACGTCTATTTCTCTCGTGAGTTTGGGTGTAATTTGTGGTAGTCAATGTGTATGTCCATGTCAGTACAGGGTTTCCCTAGTACAGGGCTGTGAGTGTGTGCATAAAAAAATGTAAATACATATGTTTACTCACCAATTAATGGAAGAAGCACCTCTGTGCCTTGGCAATAGACTGGGGTGGTAACAAATACTCTGATATTTGGGGTAGTTAATCACTTCCATGGGGATGAACTGCGTGCAGAATGGGAGGACATTGAGATCAGCGTTCACCTGAAAAAAAAAGAAAAACATATTCTAAGTCCATTTTTGCACTATTTTAGCGCTAATATGTAGGAGGTTTTTTTATTTCGGAGGCATTTGAAATTTTTAATAAGCAACAACAATGAAAGTCACCTTCTTTAACTTTTTTTGGAAGAGATCGTTAATTAACCTTAAAATCCTTAAAACCTTATTGCTAATTAGCAATGCGGTTTTGTGTACATTATAACTCCTACGGAGCTAGCGTTGAATACTCTGGGTACTAGAGGACTCTGCTGAGGCTTTACTTAATTGTTTGGCTGAGTATTCAACACCTGTAGTACCTTTTTTTTTTTTTTCTGTAGTACCTGCGTAATTAGAGATGGGAAAAGCTGCTTCTTTTTTAAACGTTTAAGCGTTATGCTTTTTTAAAAAAAGCGTGTTTTTTTTTAAACGCTTTTCCACTTAAACGCTTTTTAGTTTGACAAAACCGTTTAGAAAACGTTTAAGCGCATAGACTTTTATGTTAAAAAAGCTTGCAACGTTGTGTTGATAGCGAAACGCAAGAGCAGACCACTAAAGGTTTTAAGATAAGATTTTTTGTAAAAAACGAGTTATATTTTTATTTATGACATAACATTATTATATTAACATTTTGTTAATTGGCGTTTAAAAGCGTTCAAAAATAAAGTTGTTTAACTTTTGTAGCTGTTAACCGTTGAAATGGAAAAATGCTTATTTTGTTAACGTTAAAAAGTACGTTTAAAAAGCGTGCTTGTAAAAGCGCTTTTCACTTAAATGCTTTTTAGTTTGACGCTTAAAAAGTCTTTTAGAAAAACGTTTAAGCGCATAGACTTTGTTATGTTGAATTAATTTGTTTAGGAAACATAGATGGCGCTATTTGAAACTTAGGCACATTGTAAAAAATTAAATTGTTGAGTATCTATAGAACTGAACAGTGATAACGCTTACGCTTCAAATGGACAGCGTGCTTTTGCGCTTATTTTAAAAAGCAGACAGTTTTAAGTGATTTTCGTTTAAACGCCCACCTCTATTCGTAATTCTTTTCGTTGCTCTGTTAAATTAACCATGTTGGTGTTTTTCTGGCACTTTTCTTACTATAACTTTTTTTTATATAACGTCAAGTGACGGCACGAACAAGTCGTGTGCCTGATGGGAAGCTACACGCCTGTCCATAACAGCTGCAGTGCCACTCAGAGCTTTAAATTGCAAAGATCTGAGGGGCACTGCCACTGTGCCCGTCACTCCGAGACATAAGTTGACAAGTCCCATGTCCCTGTAATTTCACCAGCACCCTTACCCTTCAAAACCGGAACACAGATATGCTGACATTACTGCTTGGCGGTAGAAATAGGTAAGGTGGCAGTACTATCCTGGACGAACTCTTCCACATGGAGCTCTACTGCTGCTACTACCTTGTTTTGTGTTATTGGTTGTTCTATGTGATGTCTTAATATGGTTTTAATAACATTTTAGTATATTTATGTGTAAAGGATCGTATAATCTTTCGCTTTACAGTTTTAATATGAATTTTTCAACTCTTTAAGCAGTGAAATTAGTCTTTAATATAATGTTTCTTTGTAAACATGAATATCAACAATTACAATGTGTGAAACGAAACAATCTCGCCTTACTAGGGCATCATAACAATTATCACGTCACGAGATAGTAGCGTGTTTAGAATAACGTCACAATTTTAGGGCCTTTGGACTTAAGTGCGAATCACGATAATGTGTTTTATTTTGTTGTAATTTAGCCTCTAATCAAAAACAAGAACAGAGGATATTTTTTCCGTGTTGAGTTCAGTAACAAGTTCACGTTTCTAAGAGCCAATTAAGGTTCAATTTACATTGCCGCGGAACGGAATGGAAGGCAATATTTGGAGTCTGTAAGCATATTTGTAAGCTTACTGAGCTTTATGCCAATTGTGTAATGTAATAACCGACGTTCATTATGCTATGCTATTCTCTTCCATTCCATTCCGCGGCAGTACAAATAGAACCTAAGATTTAGCTTCTCCGTGAGAACACTTGCTCAAGCCATATACGCAATTGTAAACGTGTTACTACACTTTTCATCGCGAAATCAGCTTGAGAAGATCATAAAGGCTTTATATCCAGATGAGAGAGAAAAAGACGCGCGAATCGCTTACGTACAAGTGCCAACACGAACGCACAAAGTCTTCTTTGCTCTTATTACATGGACATAATTTTTTTTTAACACTAAGTGATGGGACGACCTAATCGTGCGCCTACGACACGCTTATCCATAACAGTTGCAATGCCACTCAAAGCTTTAAATCACAAAGATCTGTGGGCCACTGCGTCTGCGCCCGACACCCTGAGACATAAGTTCACAAGTCCCATGTGCCTACCTCTTTGAGGGCCAAGCCTACAAAATCAAGATAACAGTGTTCAAGACCTAACATCCTTACTGTATTCCTATCTTATAGTACAAGGAGTTTTCTGTTTGCGACTAGACAATTGTTATTATCTGGCACAAGTATTTCATTATGTATTATTGCACCACATAATGAATAAAAATAGGCCGAGAAAAATTAAAAGAAAAACCAGATATTAATATTGTAATTATGCTCTTGAAGGGTATCATATAATTATGTAGCAGTAGAGCTCCTTGTGGAAGATTTCGTCCAGGGAAGTACCTTCACTTGTCACCTTACCTATTTCTGCCGCCAAACAGTATTGTGTTCCGGGATTGAAGGGCAAGGGTGCTGGTGAAAATTACAGGCACATGGGACTTGTCAACTTATGTCTCAGGGAAACGGGTGCAGTGGCAGTGCCACTCACTCAGATCATTGCGATTTAAAGCTCTGAGTGGCACAGCAAATTTATATGTATCGCTTACCACCAGGCGCACGACTTGTTAGTCCTGTCACTTAGTGTCATAAAAAAAAGTTCAATTCAATGAAAAACATTGATTTCCTATAGACGAATAATTAAAAATTCGTATAAGTACTTTCGATTATCATCATGATACATACGCGTGTAATAAATATCAATGGAAGTTAACCCATAGTTTATCATTTATCACCATGGACGGATGGCGTACGACCTATGATTACAAGGCGACACTCAAGTGAATGTTCCACTTCTGGTTAACCTACTTTAAAATTGTACTTATGTACATTTGAGATGTAACATGTTGTTTATAATTAGTTTCGTAGAATTCCCTGCCTGCAGACTTATTTCCTGAACGTTATAACTTGGATCTTTTTAAGGCGAGAGTGAATAGGCATTATTTAGGTGTGCATGCTCCATGGTCTACCGCATCGCCACTTTCTATCAGGTGAGATGGAGGTCAAATACGCACCTATATATTTTATTTAAACAAAGTTATGTTTGGTTGTATGTCGTAACTTTTAAATAAATTTGTTTTTAACCTGTTACGCGTCCTAGCGGCACACGGTATCCTTAAGGATTTTAGTGCAGTAGCGCCCTAGAGCTTTGCAATGTCTCTAATGCGCAGCTGTGTTTTCATCAATTCATCCACCATTAAAATAAAAAATAAAAACCACCATAAAATAAAAATATTTTTTTATTCCTTTTTAATAATCACGTGACGGGTTAATAAGTGCCAAACAACCACATTTGTTACCAGTTTTTAAACTAGGAACTTCCCTGTATTATGAGTACAGGGTCAAGAGCATGTGAAGCTTGACACTTAAGATTTAAATCCAACTCTATGCCGCTTACGATAAAAATGGTCCAAAGTATAAAGTGTTAAGCCTTACGTGCTCTTGACTGTACCAGACAAAGGAATTCGCTCTGAAGAGTGCTTAGCTCTGGGTAGTGACCCAAAACACTCAAACTGGAACCAATTTAGTTAAATTTCCTAATTAATAACAACTATTCATTAATAGTAATTGCCTTCGTGGCCGAACGGTTACCGTACTGGTCTGCCACGCAGAGGTCTCGGGTTCGATTCCTGGATCAATATTTGTATGGCCTACATTTGTTTCTCACGTGAGTTTGAGTGTAATTTGTGGTTGTCTCCATGTATCCATGGCACCGGCGATACAGGTTTTCCCTATTGCGGAGCAGCTATTAGTGTGGGCGTTATTATTTTTAAATTGGTCCCACCGAGAATCGAACCCGCGACCTCCTCATCCAGCACCTACAGTGCAAAACGTAGTCCCTTTGAAGTCAACAAAGATTATTTGTTTCCATTTTACTTTATTATTCTATATCGGAAAGATATTAGATATGTTTTATATCTAATGGAAAGATACGGAATAAAATCTTTATTATTATTGCTATTTCCATAAAGTCAATGTAATATGGAAAAAACTGAAGGAATGCAATTTTACTATCAGTGCTTTAGTTTGTTTTTAAAAATACCTTTGTCGTTTTATGACAATAAATGACTTAGTAAACTGCATCTATTTTCCTTATAACTAGTTAGACAAGACGTAGTTACTTATAATCACTTTTAATAATACGGTATAACGGTTATTTTGCCGTACTTTGCACGTAACTGAGTGCTGTATTGCAAATCGTATAATGACTGCTTATAAGAGACAACTAATACGGCGTAGTTTCTAAGCTATGTACAGATTTGTTGAGGAATTCTAAGAACTAATTTTTACTGACATCATGCAAATGTATTATATATTGGGCTATTCTTTGGTAACACAGCTCCGTTCAAACTTTTAAATTTCTATACTAAGGTTGCTTGGAAGAAATTGCTACTTAGCAATCAAACTGCCTGTTGTAAATTAGCTTATTCTGTGACTGGGGTTTTATGTTGCCATTGTAATTTTTTTTGAACATCAAGTGACGGGACGAATAAATCGTGCGCCTGACTGCAAGCTACATGCCTGTCCATAACAGTTGCAGTGCCACTCAGAGCTTTAAATCGCAAAGATCTGACGGGCACTGCCAAAGCGCCCGTTACTCTGAGACATAAGTTGACAAGTCCCTTGTGCCTGTAATTTCACTAGCACCCTTACCCTTCAAAACCGGAACACAGTAATGCTGACATTACTGCTTGGCGGCAGAAATAGGTAAGGCGGCAGTACTACCATGGACGAACTCTTTCCCAAGGAGCTCTATTGCTACTGAAATGTGCTTTAAACAGAATAGTTCATTTATTGACAGCAAAACAAGGAACAGTATGCGTGCATAAGATGTGTTTAAGGTGGTATGTCGGTATTAATTTCTATTTAAATCGCATAAATTTTACTAAAGTTAAAATTTTTCTACTTAAAAATTTTTTTTTTTCTACTTATATATTATGCGGTATAAATCCTAGTATTTTATTAGTACAAATATAGAAAACTATCGGACTTAATAAATAACTTAAGTGAGCGAAATATTTTTTGCATTACACGCTTCAAAGAATAGGTACTGAATTTATAAAGAGGAAATATAAAACTATTTTTTTTAATTAAAATCGCTCATATTAGTTTTTGCAATCAAACCAACCTTTCGGGGTCTTTCGATATCCCATGATCACGGTTGACTTGGCACTGTAGGATTTGTAAAGTACCCGAAATATTGATGTAACGAACTGCAGCAGATGCTACAAGTCTTACATTTCATAATCTTTTATTTTTAGTGTTAAAATGTATTTTTGGCGCCTTTTCTATTGTTTTGTTTGTTTTACTCGTGCATATATTATACTTTGTTTTTAAAAAAATTTGTAATATATTTATTGCAATCGTGTGGTTGATATGGCGTACATTAAAAAATTTGCAGTACCTTAACATGAACCCTGCAATCTTAGCATGAGCCCGAAGACAAGAGTAGTCTCTTCTCCGAAATGTCAATTTTCTCTCATAGACAAACGTTATCTCTTCTTGGAACTGTCATCAAAGAAAAGATAACTTTTGTCTTCGGGCTCGTGCTAAGTGTGCTGGTAGGGTATCGAAATCGAATATAAAATTAAATAAACAAACTCAATCTAAACATTCACTTTACATTGTCATATTCATTACTAATTATATTTTATGTAACAATTATTAGTTAATTTATTGTTGTTCTTCGTTTATTATTAATAAACTATTTTATTTTAAAAACTCTCGCATCGAATACAAGATTTTGAGATAGTATAGACACTTAAAGTTACGCAAATTTAACTTTTCGTTGTCCTGACCACAAAAGAACCATTTTTGCGAATACAAAGTTTTTGATGTATTTATGATAGAACCAATTAGAAAATGATATTGGTAAATCGGAAATAAAAATCATGTTACATGGCGTAATCACGGCTCACCAGTTTGTACTTTAGTAAAAACAATATCAATATCAAATATCATTGGGCCAAATTCATACAATTTTATTATTGTATGAAATGATCATGATTGAAAAATTGGTGTGCTTTTAAGAAAATATTACGTAAACTCTAGATATGACCTTGAATTTTGTATATGAATGTGGTTTTTTATAATACCAAGTGACGGGACGAACAAGTCGTGGGCCTGGTGGTAAGCTACACACCTATTCATAACAGTTGCACTGCCACACAGAGCTGTAACCGCAAAGACCGGAGGGGCACATCCACTGAGCCTGTCACCCTGAGACATAAGTTGACAATTCCCCTGTGCCTGTAATTGCACCAGCACCCCTACCCTTCAAAACCGGAACGCAATAATGCTCACATTAGCGCTTGCCGGCAGAAATAGGTAAGGATGGAAGGAATGTAATAGCAACACGTGGTACTTACAGATATATACTGCTCCAGAATCTCAGGAATCACTTTTCCTTTCACTCTCCATGTCTTGTACTTAAAGACAGGCCTGGCGTGCTCTGCAGCTATTGTGGCTGTAACAATTTTATAGTTTATTGATTGAGAAGCGGGAAAAAATGTTTTGCTAAAGGAAATGGTTCATGTTTTTTTATAATACTAAGTGACGAGCAAGTAGTGCGCCTGGTGGTAAGCGACACGCCTGTCTATAACAATTGCATTGCCACACAGAGCTTTAAATCGTAAATATCTTACTGCCACTGCGCCCTTCACCCTGAGTCATAAGTAGACAACTCCCATGTGCCTGTAATTTCACCAGCACCCTTACCCTTCCAGACCGGAACACAGTAATGCTCACACTACTGCTTGGCGGCAGAAATAGGTAAGGTGGCAGTACTTCCCGGACAAACTCTTTCACAAGTAGCTCTACTGCTACTAAATAAAATTATTTAAAATTAATATGTATTTACTAGATAAATAAGGGTTTTATAAAAATATACTTAAGAACATTGTCTAAAAATTGTGCTAATTTGTTACATGATAAAATAAAAGTGTAAAATGAATTGTTTATAAATAAAATATCTAACTTTGCACATAATTTTTATAAGTAGATATTTCTTTTTAACTACTATAGAGAATCTGCTAAATTTTGGTTTTCAGCTGAAACCTGCTAGTTATAAATTCACATTTATCGTAAAATTTGAAAATTGCCCTGTGGTTTAATGAGGTGTCGCGCCGTGAGAGTGGGTAGATCTGGTTTTGCTGATCCCAGTTAATACGTTAGTAACTCAATTTAATTAAAAATGTTTATTACACTAACTAAAACGTGGCTAAGTGATAAAATCTTGAGATATCATTTAAAACCATAACCCAGCTTTAGAATATTGAAATTGCTTATAAATAAATAAATAAACTGCTTAATGATATTTCAGCTATGCATAGTTAGGGTAAGTTCTAATAAGTCGTGCACCTTAACTAATTTTAACTGTTTTTAAAAGACAATTTTGTGGTCTATCTTTTGCTATTTAAAACGGATATTTGATCATTTGTCACTTATCAACATTTTAGTTAGTGGACGGCAGTGCAGTATGGTGGTGTACAAAAAGTTTCCAGAAATGTTTACTTACCAAGAGGATCTTCCCGGTTTCCTTTATCCAGTACAGTGAATACTCCAACCACTTCATGACCGTCGCGTTGCAACAGCTTGAACACTTCAGCTGCGAACTGGCTCTGCCCGATGATAGCTATGCGAAGCGACTTCTTTGGTGACTAAAAAAAATTATAGGAGTTTAAGTAGAAATACATTTTATAAAAATTATAAATTGCCATTTTTGCACTTTTGCTGGGGCAAACTATACGCATGTTTGTCGAAACAACGAAAATTAAATGCCCTCTAATAAAAAATAATTTAAAAAAAATAATTCATTTAAACCTAATTTTAGACAAAAATGCAGCAATAAATGTAACAATTAAAACGTTACAACTGATTATAATCAATAAAACTCTTACCTCTTCCGGTATAGCAACAGGTGGCATTGTTGAGTGTTATTATGAGTAACAAGTAACAAGTAAAAATAAAATTGACAATACAAAACAAAATGTACTCAGGTCCACCGTTCGGTGTTAGAGCGTGATCAAACTAACGAGAACACGTCAGCCCGTTTCTATTTAACGGGCCTTGTCTCCAGTATTGCGCTAACCCTGGCTATACTTATCATAAAAGTTCAACTTATGAACTTATCCGATAAAATTAAGAATAATCACTATTATTAGCGCACCATATTGTTTTGCAGCAATTGCCGCCAAAATTAAGCACCTGACAGACGGGATGGATGACATATGTTTGTTCGAGAATTATTATAAGCCAATCAGATAGTTGCCAAATTATCATTCTAGAGCATGATTGGCTTGCTTCATTAGAGCATTTTGGCGGTAACCAATTAAATGCCAATTGTTTTCTTTTTATATCATATTGTGTTTTGGCTTGGATAACATAGTATAAAAATTCAATTTTTACTGAAAAAGTTTGAAAATAAGGGTTTTTGCTGGGTTTTTGTGTAGTTATAACCCATGAAAAAGTAATAATATTGAAACCATAATTTGTCCGTAATTTTCCTGCTTGTTGCACAATTCTACTAGCTTCCGGTTCGAAATAGCTATAAAAATGGAAAACAGCGTCATACACGTGAACACGTTGATTAAGATGTTACACCCATTGCGTAATAATAATATGTAAACGTTTTCAGAGTGATATTCTAAAAGCAACAATTCTGATTAAACGGTCATCTCCTTATAGGCCATACTTGAGTAAACATTCAAAATAAACCAGATCGAAGCGGTTATGAGATGTTTTTGATGATAATTATGAACGATGAGGTCAAGCAGATACTGCCTATACTATTCTGGTTGTAAGCGGTTAACAATAAATATGTATAGCCATTTCAAGAATCAACAAGAGTGACGTTTGTTTTTTATATAAATAAGTTTATAAAATTACTTATTTTTTACTTTGGCCTTTATGCCTATATTTATACTAGTGCTGTACTCGCATAAATTGGCAGTTTAATAGTAGCTCGATGGCTACTGAATGACAAGCCACTACTCTTAACTTTTAGCAGAATACCAAACGAACAAAATCCTGCCATAGACACTATCGAGATTATTCAAAATTAACAGACATGGCGCCCAGAAAAGTCGTCCAACGGTACGACGCAAAGAGTACATTACATCTTAGAGGATGGAAAAAAAATAAAGGAAAGGAGCTATCCTAACTATAGAATAAACGTGCATATCTAAACAAAAATTGAACGCTGCAAATGGCGGATTTCCCTAGTATTATACCATAATCTATCGATTAATAAGATTTATGAATAAACTATTTAAATAAGTCTAATTATATGAGATATTTGGGTTATTGTGTGTTTTATAGACACAAAAATAACCATGCCTGTGCAATGTTACATTCGGTTTATTTTTGCTTTTGCTAATGCCACATCTGTTAATGCTGCAGCGACGCATTTTTATTAATACCTAATTGTTGTCACTGTTACTATTTTTGGCCATTTTATTACTATCCATACACGTAATTCAATAAAACACCTGGAAAAACATTTATTTTGACATTTGATGTACTTCCCTTTGACAATCGTTTAGTTTAGGTTAGTAGCAGTAGAACTTCTTGTGAAAGAATTCGTCCAGGGAAGTACTGCCACCTTACCTATTTCTGCCGCCAAGTAGTAATGTCAGCATTACTGTGTTCCGGTTTTGAAAGGTAAGGGTGCTGGTGAAATTACAGGCACATGGGACTTGTCAACTTATATCTCGGGGTGACGGGCGCAGTGGCAGTGCCCCTCAGATCTTTGCAATTTAAAGATCTGATTGGCGCTGTAGTTGTTATGGACAGGCGTTCGTCCTGTCACTTGATATTATAAAAAAACCGTATCATGTACCCCATGTACTGCGACATGAACACAGTTTACGTATTTTCGATTCCCGTGTTTGGCACAGACCATTGTAATACTTTTGGCTTACGACGGCACGCAGTAGTTAAACAAAGACAATAACATGTTTCTGTTTTCAATGTCGAAATGCATTATATACAATGATAACGTCTGATTTATATATGTCGACATAACATGTCCTTTGGTTTCCATAGTCTAAGCATTATATCTTAGACGATGGAAAATACTGATATAGAGTCATCAGCTCAAATCGTACTTATGCGCCCCTGGCAGGTAACACCAGAACTATTTCTTTCCTGTACATACAAATATCTATGGGTTCATTCTGTCTGTTCACAGGTTCTCGGGAGCGTTTTATTTTTATTAGGGATATTAAATTTAACGAATTTTAAACAATTTTTTGTTTTCAAATCACGTATATGTGTTTTTCAAACATTTATGCAATCAAAATCAACTTTGGCAGAAGGTCGTTAATTAACTATACCTACTTATTTATCTGCCAATCATTATTCTCACAGTTTGCCTTCGTAACAAGCAATATATAATAGAAAAAATATAACAATATACTCCCGAGCATATAGTTCGAGCCACCTCGCATTTTTGTCGTAAAGGGCTAGTATACAAAAATACATCTATAGTGTATCTATATACAATTCGATGATAGCACTATTGCTATCATCGAAGAAAAAGTTTTCCCGGTTTTGCAAATCCAAATTCCCAACAAGGAATTAGTCCTTGTTGCGAACTTGGGTGGAAATGACGTTTATACGCATAATAGTTTTTGATCAATCAAACATTGTTAAGCTTAGGGCACTTAGGGTAGTATTCTAGAACTCTATTCAATGCTCAAGTCAGGATTGCACTGGCAACACAAGCACTGGAAATACGATCCTAATGGCAGGGACTTGAGTATGATATCAAGTGCTTTAAGCCATACTCAAATCCTAACTTGAGCATTGAGTAGAGTTCTAGAATACGATCCTCAGGGTCGTATTCTAGAACTCTACTCAATGCTCAAGTCAGGATTGCAATTGAAACACAAGCACTGGAAATACGACCCTAATGGCGGGGACTTGAGTATGATTTCGAGTGCTTTAAACCATACTCAAATCCTGACTTGAGCATTGAGTAGAGTTCTAGAATACGACCCTTAATACTGAAAATGCGTGGTGACTCGAATTATGTGTTCGGAAGTCTATATAATAAACTCAAGCATTGAGACTGGTTATAATGTTTTGTGAACATTTATCAAAGAACCAGTTATAGCCGGATAAGGTTTGCTTTTAGCAATAGAATGACATACATAACATATTATTGTGTGATAACGTCAAACCGAGTCTTTCATTAAGTAATTAGTTCTTTATGAAAAGTTGCCTAATGAAGATCGATTGATCGAACAGTGGTTGTTTAGTTGTACAGTTTCTTTTAATATTGCAGACATTATGCCCTGAACTTTTAAAAGAAGCAGTATGACTTTTTGTGAAAGAGTTCGTCTAGGGAAGTCCTGCCACCTTACCTATTTCTGCCGTCAAGCAGTAGTGTGAGCATTATGGCGTTTCGGTTTAGAAGGGTAGGGGTGCTGGTGAAATTACAGATAGGTACCATAGGACTTGTCAACTTATGTCTCAGGGTGACGGGCGCAGGGTCAATGCCCCTCAGATGTTTGTGCACGGGAGCGTGTCGCTTACCATAAAAAAATACACGTATCGGGCGTAAACGGTCGTTTTACGACAGTTTAAAAGTTATTTTAAATGTTATACGTATAAAGCTTATATATATTTATAATATCAAGTGCCGGGACGAACAAGTCGTGAGAGCTTTAAATTTCAAAGATCTAAGGGGCACTACCACTGCACCCCTCACCCTGAGACATAAGTTGAAAATGCCATGTGTCTGTAATTTCACCAGCACCTTCAAAACCGAAACGCAGTAATGCTCACATTACTGCTTGGCGGCAGAAATATGTAAGGTGGCAGAACTTCCTTGGATGAACTCGTACTCTCGAGCTCACAAGGAGCTGCTGCTACTAAACTTTTTTGGTAGCAGTAAAATTGAATTGAAAATAATTTTCCATGATAGCAATATTTGTGGTGGTTCGGATTATATGTCCGGGAGTGTACATAAGGCGCACTATAAGTTTCCGGAACTGGCCACTTACATATACAATATTTAAAAAGTAATTACAACACTTGAAAATGGAATTCTTTGGCTGTAGAATGCAGTTTGTTTCATCTGACTGTCACTTGTTTTCACATTGTGGCGTCATTATAGAGATTGGTTGTCTACATCACCTTGGATTTATCTCGTGAAAATTTTCGTAGTATGATTTTCTACGACTTTAAGTGTAATTTAACAGCTCAGCGGAGCTTCGCTCGGCTTCAAACTGCTTTTGACGATGAAGCACCATGCAAGACGGGTATTTATAGCTGGTTTCCAGAATTCAAACGCGGTTGTGTGAATTTCAGTGACGAATTTCGTGATGGTCGCTCGTCCACTGCTGTGAACAAGTCGTAGGCACGAGTCAAATACGATCAATACTACACAAACATTTGGGTGTGAAAAAGCTGTGCTCTCGGAGGATCCCGCTCAATTTGACTGAGGCTCAAAAAACGGATCGCCTCACTTGGTGCAATGCCATGCTTACCAGATTCAACGAAGGGGCGTCAAATTTGGTGTGGGACATAGTAACAGGTGACGAAACATGGATTTATAGTTACGATCCCAAAACAAAGCAGCAATCGAGCGTACGGGTCTTTCGAGATGAGCCGAAACGGACCCGAAACCGGATGATTGCTTCTTTTTTTAATAAAACTGGAGACGTGGCTATTATTGCTTTGGAGAATCGTTGTACCGTGAATAGTGATTGGTACGCGACCATTTGTTTGTCGGAAGCATAAATGTTTTCGAAATTGGTTCATTTGTTTGAAAAAGTGCATTAACGCTAACGGAGAATATTTTGAGAAACAATAAATTCTTTTCTGACCATTTATAGTATTTTTTTCTTATTCATTCCGGAAACTTATAGTGCGCCACATGTATTAATAATTTTAGGGGCGGAAAGAAGCAGTGTAATGACAATACTTAAGTCACAGTGAAAGTTTCTGGATTCTGATAAGTCCAGATACTATGTTTATAATAGATTTATTGTTTTTCAAAGAATATTAATTTAAGCCCTCTTTATTCACACACTTTTGCATTCGTTGGAACCATTGCTTCGGGGCTTGGAAATCGTAAATTTCAAAGTTTACTTTGATTTTCGGAAATAAAAATAAGTCGCATGGTCCTAAGTCTCGACTGTATGGCGAATGGGTCATCAGCTTGTGACGATGTCCTTACACCGTCCCACCTTTTTATCGCCTTTTCTCCGATTCCTGGCCACTCGTTTTTAAATTTTGAGTCGTTGTTTAATAATTTTTATTTTGCCTCGCCATTCTGATTTTGTTTCGTTTTATTGTCACTCCCTGCTCGAACGCGGCATCGTATAGTGCTGTTTCAATTTCAATTGCGTCTAATTTTTATTCCTTTACCAGATTTGTAATGGCTACTACTAATCATGTGCTAATTTTAATATCGATCTGTAATTCTATATAACTCGGCCCTTTTGGGGTAAGTGTCTACTTTATATTCATCCATAAGCATATATCCGTATGGAATTAAGTAAGGGAGTGTTTTGTACTATTGTACCTGTCTTTAGATACCTTTTTTTGTTACAGCCTCTTTTTTCTGTTGCCAACAACTTGTAATAAATTTCCGTGGACCTGAAGTTTTCTTATTTTATTGCCGTGAACCTGGTCACGGTTTATCAGGGTTTACAACCTTTTCAAGCTCCACATTTGAGGCCTTCAAATACGCATTCGTTACCTTAGCGGGATGAGCAGAGGCGTTGTTGTAGTAAAGGACGATATTGCTTCGAGGACGCTTTTCGCAAACTTTTTCTAACACTCTGGGCAAGCAGGTGTTTACATAGCAATCTGCAATTACTATCCTTTGGTCTTCAAGCGCTACAGTAGTGTAAAGTCCTAATTTGCCGAAGAAGCAACCACTTTCTTACCAGTGCTTCGACGTTTCTTAACTTTCGTCGGCAATCTTCAAATTGAAAAAGACATATTCTGCGGATTGGCTTTTTCTTTCCGCTTCAAAGCAGTACACCCAGGTATCGTCACTTTTCGCCATAAAACTTTTATATAATTTTACGGCACCACACGCAGTCGTTTCTGGCACTCCGTTAAATCAAGCGGTATCCATCGACTGTGAAGTTTTCGAACCTTCAGATGCACAAGCAATATCTTTTGCACCTCGCTAATTCCAGTGCAACACAGAATTTGCTCACAAGTAATTTTTTTGTCAGTTTCAATCGGCTGTCGTACGGTATCAGTAATAAATACTCGATAACCGCAGTCGCCCCGGCCGAACTTCATGTACCTACATCGTCATTGAGACGATCACGTCCACGTCTAAATTCACTGAATCACGAATAGACAGAGCTACGACATGGGGCTTGATCACCAAACGCCAATTGAAGTCTCTGACGACTCTCTTGTTGACCTAAGTCACATCGAAAATCGTAGAAAATCATGGAACGAAAATTTTCTCGACTGAAATTCATTGCAAAAACTACTCACAGTTTTCTAAACGACGCCACAGTGAAAAACCAAATGGCAGTCTCATAACGTGCCTACATTGTGATACATAGATAGGCAAGTGTTTATAATTTTAAATCTCTAGTTGTGATAATTTCATTTCTCAGTTACATTGTAGCAAAATTACAATAGATGATTGTTATTTACGCTTAGTAAAAGAATAGGTATTTTAATTCATAGTATGTAAAATGTAACCGAACGTATGTAATAAATTATTCTTCCTTCATATTGGGCGAAAATATTTTAAAGGAGATCCGCCAAAAATGACGACGTTTCTCTAAAAAATATAATTTTACAAAGAGCCCCTATTAAAATTCAACAGGCAAAAAGACAATGTTAGCATGTGAATTTAGCAATACCGAAACTATATAATATTTTTGCTATTTTTACTCTAAAAATTGAGTTACATTATTTTGGCGCCGGGCCTGGGGTAATTTTGTATGGGATTTGGCGGATCTCCTTTACCAAGCACTACTGGGATACATCTTCTCCAAGGGGATTATTTAAACCAGGGTTCTAAATTATCAAAATATTTATTTTCTTTGTTCTTATCGTAACGATGGCATACACCATAATGTTTGCCATCATGGTGAAAAGATTTGCCAATCGCCGACTGTTGCCCAACGTACGATTGACGTACAAAAAAGGAATACGTTGTGCCTTCACATAATAATACATGGACCACCCTTACGGTTTGTAGACAGGCGAGGGAAGCACTCCCAACGCTCAATGCCAGTCTATCTCAAATACTAATTAAACATAAAAGGCAAGAGCTTAATTCGCACTCTAATTGCCGCCCTAACGGGTCATGGTCCATGCTCCGGCGTGGCCAACTACAGGGCAAAATACCTTGGAGTGCCAAGGTCGCTCCCCGAAGTCTTCAGCAAACCAAGGAGGCTGCTGAGATTCCTGGAGGAGCTTAGGTGGCACGAGTAGGACCCTGCACCCACCACACGCAAAATAGGCGCTTTGTCGTCGAGTTGCGGATACCAGCCCGTTGCACCAAGTACCAAGTACCAAGATACGTTGTGCCGTGAGGCGCCTTTCGTGCACCCTGTTTATTTTCTTTGATAATTATCATTACAATTATCTGATAATTATGCAATATATATGCGATAATTATCCATGATGATTCACAGTTTTCACTATTTAATTTTTTACTTAAAATGACAAAACACTGAGAAAACTACGAAGAAAAATCTTTGGGAAATAGATGCGGTTTGTGACTTTTGTGAGATTGATATTTTACACATTTTGATACACGTTAATGTAACAAATACATGCTACGATATTATATGTATATACGACGGTGGCATGTTGTTGCTCCAATTAATTTGATAAATATTAAAGTTTATTAAGCCTATCTTTATCAAGATAATTATTGTGATAATTTTATCAATGATAATTATCAATTCGAACCCTGATTTAGACTATCCCAAGTTGAGGGAACTTTTACCTTTAACATACGAAGCCTGTAGGGCTAGCACGACAAGGCGCGACATGGGCGAGAACGATATAAAGCGCGAGATATTCTATGCGACAATAGCAGTACCTCGCGCTTTAAGTCGCTCTCCCGCAAGTCGCACCCTGTCGTGTTAGCCCTACTGGTGTCGATTCGGACAGATTAGTTTATTAATTAGCACTTGCTTTAATTCTAAATTTAATAATCGCGATGAAAACTGTATGTCCTTAGTTGGAATGGATTTTTTGTAATACTTGTAACTGTTGTTTTTAAATATAGCATAGACAACCACAAATGACATCCAAACTCACGAGAGAAATAAATGTAGGTTTTACACATATTTCTCCCAGCCTGGGAATCGAGCCCAGGACCTCTGCATGGCAGTCCGGGTACCGTTCGGCCACGGAGGCTTATTCTTCCAATGTATAGATAATACCTATACGAAAACAATATTTTGATCAGAACGATTTTACTGCTAATTGTTGTTGCTTGTTTACTTGTCTTGTTTCTTATTATGAAATACAATGTCAATTGATTATTGCTCGTGTTTTCTAAACCATTGTCCGCTGAACAATTGAATACGCTTCTTCAGAAGTGATTCTGTCGTCCTGCGTCGCAGTCGAGTAGTGGTTTACTTTTTTAAATAATTTCTGTGACACGAAGTGATGGCCGCATGGATAGTGACATTTTTTTTAATTTTCTTTTCATTTATAGAGGTATCAGTTTCAACATTTGCGATAAAATTTCCATTTTTATGTACTTATTTTGGATTAAAAAAGTGCAATATTAATTTTAATTTTAGTTTTGACTTGTTAAGATACTAGTTTTTTAAATGTGTTGTATCTTTCACACCTGTACTTTATGTAATCTGTGCCATACATGTCATACGTAAGTACCTAATCATCGCTCAATTGCATAGTTTGACTATTTACACACATATTTTAATGTAAAATTTTATGTGAAGCTAAAATAAAAAGTATAATGTTTGAATTTGTCGTGTTTGTCATAACAAACTTTTAAAACTCATAATAGATATATGTCTATGGGCATTTCTCCTAGAAGGGCTAAATTTTTTAGCTTCGGTGTTCGAATTGTTTTCTTTTTATTTCGGGAAAACCATTGAGCGGGAAGGAAAAAACAAACTTACATAGGATTATTTATATTAAGACATAAGTTAATTGGGCATCTAGATTCTTAACAGTTCATGACATAATTATTACTTTTTATACCTGACGAGATAATTCATGCAACTTCAAAATCTTTCCTTCCGCTTTTTCTTCGCTTACTTCTGTCTGTCTTTTTCATCAAACCTTTCATATATAATTGGATCGCTCTTTATCGTTGCTTTTCTAGCATCTTCTTGATTTCCAATTTTTCTTTTCTATTTTGGTTTTCTTTATTAATTTTTAGCAGGAATCAAGTAGCAATATAAAATTGTGAAGATCAATAATATTAACTAAACATTTATATGAAAAATCCCATAAAATTCTTGCTTTTCAAGGATTATGGCTTCGATGGCAGTTTTTTCCGATTTCAGTGGAAGTTTTTCTGAATTCGGTGGCATAAAATCCACCGAATCCAATGTCACGAAATTCTAAATATATATAATTTGATATTACTCGTAAACATCAGTACTTTCAAAACCAATAAATTGTTATTATATTTTAGTTGCTACAACACATATTACAAAAAATATTAGATACAACCATAAAATTTAGTTTTTGAAATATATATTGTATGCATGTATAAATATTGTACACACCGAATTATAAAATCAACCTGGACCAAAACCACCGAATTAGGTATTAACACGCAAAAAGGCCTAAAATCGGCATCAAATAACCCACATGTTCTCTCCAGCCGCATGGGCGGGATGGACGAATTGCAACGCTTCTAATATGCTTCACTTGTGACGTATAAACGTGATTAGTAATGACCACCGAATTTAATATTGATATACGATTTCAATTTTGAGAAAAATGATACTTTGTGTTGGATTCTGCATTCGGGGCAGGCTACCGTTGTCAGGTTTTAGGCATTTCGGATTTTTCTCCATTAGGTCCGAAAGGTTTATTGGCAAAATTTTGTGCTCATGGCTTTCGTCCTATGTTATACACTATATTTTTTGTAAATTTTTGTTTTGATAAATAAGTGAAGTTTAGTGCATAGACGCAGAAAATTTTGAGCGGTTTTGGAGAAATGTCCATATTACTACTTATCTAACTTTCTAAGATACGTGTACATCAAAATGTGTACCTACATAATACGAGAAGCGTTTTGATATGTATAATAGGTACAATTTCTGTAGTAGTAGAGCTCCTTGTGAAAGAATTCGTCCAGGGAAGTATTGCCATCTTACCTATAATCATTTCTGCTACCAAGCAGTATAATGTGAGCATTATTGCGTTCCGGTATTGAGGGGTAGGCGCGTGTTGGTGAAATTACAGGTACATGGGACTTGTCAACTTATGTCTCAGGGTGACAACACACGCACAACGCATAAAAATCTTTAAAGATCCGAGTGGCACTGCAATTGTTTTGGACAGGCGTGTCTCTTACTACCAGATACGACTTATTTGTCCCGTTATTAAATATCATAAAAAACATACATATCAATATACTTGATTGAGATTGAATAAATAGAAATTTTCCATCTCACTAATTACCTATCTCCAACAAAACTAAATATTTTACGGACATAATTTAATCAATTTCTTACGCAAACGTGTGGAAGTCGTGTTACATGAACTTTTCGACACGGCACCTAATATTACTTATATTACTTATTTTTGTGACGTTATCTTATCGCAAAATATATTGACTTTTAAAAATGTTAAGTCACTCACTCTCTCGTCTGAAGTCGTAGGTACGTACTAAAAATTATTATAACGTTGGAAACCTCCAGTAGCCGCTCCGCGCATAGTAGCTCCATCTGGAAAGGAAGAGAGAGAAGTAACCTTCCTTCGGCTCGCGTCACGGCTCGCCGTCGAAACCGACAGTTAATAAAAATATGGCGCGTGCAACTGTTCTGGCAACACGTTTTTGCAAGTAATCTTTTGTGTATTGTATACTACACAGGGTGTAAATTTGAGACAGGGCAGCAAGGCCAGCTACCTTAATCGTTATAGTTAAAGGAAAACGGTTCTAGAAGACTATCCATGAAGTTTGAAGATATTTCGATCGGCATTCATAGATTTTGAAAAAATTGTACAGTCAGCAAGATAAAAGGCAATTTTTACAAAACTGTTTTTTTATGCCATTCGATCCGGTCTCTGGTAAGGATCAATAGTATCTATGAGACCAACTGAAGTAAGAGTACTCGAAATGTCGGAAACAGCAAACACTTTTTACCATACATTTTGAAGGGACATATTTAGTAATCAGTTATTCTAGGTAGTTAAGGAAACTAACAAATTGACAACGTATTATGTATTTCAAAATAAAAACAATAACAAAAAGCAAAATAACATAAATAATCTATGATAGTAAGTGCTCGGATTGATTGCCACCTTGGCAGATGCATTGATTCGCTCTCTTCCGCAAAGAGCAAGTAGCGGCTGAAATTTACTCGGATGGATTCCATTGAAAATTGCTGTAACTGCGTCTTTCAATTGTTGAACACTGTTGTATTTTTTTTATGAATTTCATTTTTTACATAGCCCCAAAGAAAAAATCAATGGGTGTCAGATCAGGCTGCGCTGTGGCCATTTGATAGGACCATGTGTTCCAATTCATTTGTTTCCACATTTGAGAACATTTTGATTAAAAATCGTACTAAAAGTGACAATTCGCTATTAACAAAACAGTTTCAAAAAAAAAAAGATATGTTTCCAATTTGGTTTTATTACTTAATTCTTATTTGTAGAGTAGTGGCCAGTTTCTTTTCTAACAAAAAGCTTTCATTAAAAATGTGTTTAAAAGGTTTTTTAATTTCTGACTCTATACTCTTACCTCAATGGGTCCCATAGATACTATTGATCCTTACCAGAGACCGGATCGAATGGCATAAAAAAAAGTTTTGTGAAAATTGCCTTTTATCTGGCTGACTGTACCATTTTTTTCAAAATCTGTGAATGCCAATCAAAATATCTTCAAAATTCATGGATAGTCTTCTAGAACCGTTTTCCTGTAACTACAACGATTAAGGTAGCTGGCCTTGCTGCCCCGTCTCAAATTTACACCTGTATAAATATTTGTCGAGAGTGCCCAATGATTAATAAATATCTTCATACGACACTAACGTAAACATTTTCCTTTTCAAAACCACGGAAACAAAAGTACGATAGTTACAAACATCCATCACATTAAAATTCCTAACTTGATAACGCTCTCTAATTTTTCATTTATAACCGACTTCAAAAAAGGGGAAGGTTTTGAATTCGACTGTATTGTTCTTTGAATGTATGTTACTTGATGACTCGTGAACCGATAATTTGAGAACCGATTATTACCGAGATCCTCTATGACTCAGGCAATTTTCAATATTCACTCTCGCCTTGAAAAGGCCCAAGTTATGGAATTCAGGGAATAAGTCTGCAGGAAGTTCCACTTTGCAGCTGTTCGCCATATAAATGTGGAAGCGTTACGTGCGAATCTTTGGAATATTCACAACATAGAGGTGGAACCCAAGCGTACGTCTAGTCCCCCGATGATGGAAAGAAGAAGGTGAAATTAAATCGTGTAAATCCATCGCACACTCTCCGTGATATATCCTGTAAAATACCGATAATCATAGGCAACTTTACGGCGTTGTTCAAGGCTCTGCAGCTTCGCCTGTACTACTTCCGAGTCACCTATATGACTCTTGGCACGCTTGTCAATTGAATCCAAGATGGCCAGTTGTACAATATGTTGTGAGTAAACAGGTGCGGTGCACGTGAACTTTTTGAATTTTTATGCCTTTTGAATTTTCGGCTATCCATTATTGAAACGAGCGAGATGCGTGTCAGTGTAACCCGCAAGCATTTCTTCGTTTTCGTCTTTTCGGAAAGGGTCCGTGGACTCTTTAAAATTTTGTGAAAGGTCTATGACTAGAAAAAAGTTAAGAAATCTCGCTCTAATGGTGTCTCTCCTGCAGAATTGTTATAGATGAGTAAAAAATAATACAATATTAAACCAATAATAGACCGATGAAGTCTTCTATATTCACCAATTCTTCCCTGAATTCTATAATAATGTTAAGTATAGTGCAGGTTTTAAGATATATAAAGTTCAACGTCTATCTGTTTTTTCAAGAAATTATAATATCGATAATAATATTTTAGGTACATTTTTGCGCAAAACAGAACGTACAATTGTTGAGTAAATATCTTTGGTATTTCTTATAATTCATATAAGGGAAATAAATGAAATTGAAGCCAACTAATGTTAATTGCAACACTAGCTACTATAAGCTGTGTTAAACTGAGTTACTGATTAATCTCCGTACAGAATACAAAAAACACCTACTTTAAATGTTCGTGGAATACATTATTCGCCAAGTTTTATTGAAATCGGTTACCGGAAAGTGCGCGAAACCGGATTCATTCCGTAGTTGCCACCCTTTGAGGTGGAATATTTTCTTCAAATTTAAATGGGATCAATACTGATGTATCCTCTTTCCAACAAAAATAGAATCATCAAGATTTTTATGATTCTACTTTGTTATTGATGTTTATGAATGTCACACACTTTAGTTATCGTGAAACATACATACAAAACCTCCTCCTTCTTTGAAGTCGGTTAAAAAATAAGCACACAATATTATCGACAAAATTAATCATATTTAGCAAACAATCAAGAAGTTGTTCTAATCACATTTGTACGAAAAGATTAACATACGAAAGTACAATACAATCCGAATTACTACCTAAACTACCGTAACAAATACCAACTACAGAAGTACCTATCTATCATGTTAATTATATTGTCACTCTTATTAGTATTTCCGCATGATACAATAGTTTTTTATGATACCAAGTGATGGGACAAACTAGTCGTACCCCTGGTAACCTGGTACCTGGTGGTAAGCGACACGCCTGTCCATAACGTTGCAGCGCCACTCAGAGCTTTAAATCGCGAAAATCTGCGCCCGTCACCTTAGAGACTTAAGTTAACAAGTCCCATGTACTGTAATTTCACCAGCACCCTTACCCTTCGAAACCGGAACGCAGTTATACTGACATTACTGCTTGGCAGCGGTACTTAAGTAGGTAAGGTTGTAATCTTACCTATTTAAGTACGTACTTGGACGAACTCTTTCTCAAGGAGATCAAGTGCTACTAAAATCTTTATAATAATAGGCAATGTAGTACATTCATACTCTTGTGTTGTATATTGCAGACTATAGTACCACGGAATTCGCACCTAGAACCTGAATTCTTGTCTAAGTCCCTGGGTCTCGCCATGAAAAAGACGGTAGATGATCCAGACGATCCTCGAGTGGCCAAAGAATGGCAGCTTTACCAGGAAATGCTAAAAGCCAGTAAGGATTCGCTGGAGAAGCGCGGAGAAGACGAAGAAGCCAGATTAGAGACTGTACTTGGAAGGGAACGAGCGAAGGCTTTTAAAAATTGTAAGTTTCTTCTTTTTTTTTTTGAAAAGTCAGCAAGTCAGGTTACAACTTAAGCCAGCCGTTTGGTTGTAAAGTTTATGTACGGACAACGGCACATCACACTACACATTTTTGTTCGAAAGTCGCCTCCATTGCAACGGAACAAGATATGTCAATGTGTAGCTTGCTGTGCTGGCTTGTATACATACCTATATTGTAGTTTATCAGATGAGAGTGTCGAGTAACATTCACCAAAATTAAAACGGTAGAGTTATCTCTAGAAGGTTTTCGAAGTCAAGATCAAAGTGAAATAATAATTTATTTTAAATTTTTTTTACATTTCAAAACGTCATTAAGCTAGACTGTTCGTTCACTATGCTGACCTCCCTGAGAAGAACGCGCAAGAAACTCTAGGCATTGCTCTTTTCAAATAAACTTAAACGCTATGGAATACACTTTGAATCATAATTGTGTGGAACCAAGACTCATGTTGTCTTTCCATACATCTTTATCTAACCAATGCTCTTCAATTTTGTAATATGACTTTTCAATTAAAACTACTTTTAACGTAAGTCATCTCCATCATTTCCTCAGTCCAATAAGTTTGAAACCGACTAAGTAACAGAACTTAGTCCACTCGGCATTGTTTGTTTTCAAAATGTATTGCCTATCTGATTTTATACGAAACCAACCCGGATAATTTCTATATTTAATCTGGTGTAGGCATTTACACCTAGTAGTTCCACAGTTATCGTTAAACTCTCACATAATAAATAAAGGTTAGGTTAGGTTAGATTGGAAACGTAAGCTGGAAATATAGAAGTTTGTAGATAATTGGTTGTGCTTGTCCTATTACTATCAATCAATAAATTTTGAATATCGCTATAGATTTTGTGTTAAAGGTCTTTAGAATGATATAGTGACGAAGACTATTAGGCAATAGCTAACTTATGGAATAATATCATGTGAGCCTCAAAGATGTCATTGATCTATTGTAAATGTGCACTTTTTTAAATAAACGATATTTTGTATTATATTTATATACATAATAGTATATAATATATATACACGAAATTATTATAAACGAACTGCATTCAAGGTAACACTATCATTATGTATAATCATACTAAATAAATATTTGATAGTCAAAAATAATATTTGATCCTGTTCTGTTATATACTACTAAATTTTCACGTTGCATTGTACTAACATTTGGAAACGGGAATAAACGCGTTTACATGCGAATAGGTATTTTTCACACCTACCTAGTTTCCCGACATTTCGGCCAGGTTGCACTAGCTGAAACGTCGGGAAACTAGGTAGGTTTGAAATGTCGGCCTTTGTTCGAAGTTTGCCTACTGCTTTTGCAAGTTTAACAGCTCAATAGTTGATTTTCCGTGCTCTCAACTTCCTCTGTTACACAGTGATCTGTAACATCAACTACAAAGACTTGTTATCAAACTTTTACCTATATTGTTTTGAGAAAATATGATATTTTGAGAAGATCAATTGAATTGAATTAAGAATATTCATAGCAAATTATAACAAATTGAATTTGAGAGAAGAACCAACAATACATTGAAATAAAAAAATAAAACATCCGAAACCCGACAGTTAGTAAATATTCAGAGACCGTTAAAATTTTGGGATAAATGTGAATTTAATAACATATTTAGGGCTTCAGTTGAAAACCAAAATTTAGCAGGTTCTCAGGTAGAACTTAAAGAGAAATATCTCCATATAAAAATAATGTGCAAAGTTAGATGTTTAGACTTTTATTTTACCCTATTTTCAGGTTTTTATATGATCGGATAAAGTACATTCTATCGTGTAACACATTACACAATATCCTTAGCTGTTTCGTGTATTTTTTGTAAGACCATTGTTTAATATATATATTTTTTTAAAATACTTAAACCATTTCATCTAGCAAAACAGTTTTTTCCGCTTATCCTCCGACTCGCCTTATCACGAAATTCGGGGTGCGTTAACTTAATTCACCTAGGTGCATTAAGTAAACTTTTAGTAAACTTGAAACACCTGGGTGCATTAGATGAACATAAAAATAAACTGTATTCACCACGATAATTAAGGACGCCAGGATTCAACTAGTTACATGGTGCAGATACGCCTGCTTGTCGAAGAAGGTTCACAATGAAGTCCCCAACCCGCATTGGACTAGCATGGCGAGTTACGGCCTAAACCCTCGCATGAGAGGAGACTCTACTAAGCAGTGGGCCGTACAAATAGGATACAATACGATGAGTGTTCTGAGTAATGCACCCAGGTGATTTAAGTTTATTAAAAGTTTACTTAATGCACCTAGGTGAGCTAATGCAGGTGAATTAAGTTAACGCACCCGAAATTCGGTATGGCGAGTCATATAGCAACCAATTTAATACAGCGTTATTTACAAAATATTAACAACCTCTCAGGACTATATTATCATGGACCAGTATTTCAAGAGGAGTATTAATCGCGGTACAAAGCGTTGCCACGAATATTCGGCTACTATTCGGACACTTTTTTTAATATTCGGTATTAGGCCGAATTGTCGTAGTATTCGACCGAATACCAAATATCAAATAATGAAAAAAGCACAAAAAAAATGTACACGAAAATGTAAATCACAAATTATTGTTTTAATACTCAAAATCAATCAGTGGCAGAGGGGCAGAGTGGCAAATGAATGAAAACAATTTTTTCAGCATTCGTTGGTAACAAACGATTGCGCTTTTCCTCATAAATAAGTCCTGCTTCTAAAAATAGCCTTTCACTATAAACACTACTGTCAGGAGACTATAGATAAATCTTAGCAAATTTTGACAGGCTTGGACACTATTTTGCGTTTGCTAACCACCACTTGTAAGGAATCCGATCTAGGCACAAACTAGTAAGAGATGGATCTAGGCGAGTAGTTTTGAAATAAAATTCAATTTCATGTGCAATAGAACTTTTTTCCACATCCTCATCATTTTGTATATTACCGTAGCGACTTCTTCAAAACAGGTCCGGAAATTGTTATGTATCGATTATTTTACCGTTACCTACGCACGCAGCGCAATGAGACAGGTCGGATGTAACAGGTCGCGCGTGAAATGCATAGATCTTACGCCGAACATTCCGCAGCCGAATATTCGGCTCTTCGGCCGTGAGCGTTATCGTGGTATCTCTAATTTTTAGTACCTATTAGTTTACCAGAAATCGCGATGAGTACCAAATAGCTTTTTTGTAATTAATTAATAAGTTTATTATTAAAGCTACTGTAATTTCTAAATAACAAACAAATAACTAAATGACGCTTATTGCACAAATTTTCGTGGATGCTACCGGATATTCACGTATTTTGTTTAGGATTAACCTCATCTACCCGTACCAAAAAGCGTTAATTTATAAATTAGTTTATATAGCACAAAATGTATTGACACGCATATTTGTCAAAGTTCAAAAAATAATAATTTTAGTCTATGGTTAATATTTGGATAATATTACCAGAAACTGCCTCCGTGGCCGAACGGTTACCATGCCGAACTGCCACGCAGAGGTGCCAGGTTCGATTGCCGGGCCGGGAGAAATATTTGTATGGTCTACATGTATTTCTCTCGTGAGTTTGGGTGTAATTTGTGGTTGTCTACCTATGTGTGTGCCCATGACACCCGCGATACAGTTTCCCTAGTGCGGGGCTACGTTAAATGTCTTATTTAAAAATAACTAACTACTTATATTTCATATTAAAGATGAATTAATTGATTTCCATTCCAAAAGAAATGTAAATACTATTTTTGTACTTTCCAGCTCTACTGGATCGTCGTCGCAGCGTTGCACATCTTCATTCAGCAGTAGGTCGACGTCGCGTCCGTTCTCAGGCTTCACGTCGTGACAAATTAACCAACCAAGGCCTCCAAAGTCATAGACGCCATCAACGCGTAGCAGTTTCAGAAACAATCTACTAGTTCACCAATTGATTTACAAATTTTGACGTTCCAGTCGAATGCAGGATTATCCCGAGGGTAGCTAGCACTAGTCCTAGCAACTACTTAAACTGTCGGACTTACAGATCTCGTCCCATTATGTCGTAACGTTTTATTTATCGTTGGACGACTGTCGCATCTAGCCAGTTCGAATGTCACGACTATCTGACGTGACTGCGTCGTGGACGTTTAACGACTGTCGTGTCTAGCTGTTCTCATTAGATTGTTCACGACAGCTGCGTTGTCATTTGCACGACAGAATCGTTTGAAGTTACGGTTATCTGTCGTCACATTTTTATCGTGACCTTGTATTTGTAGTCAGACGATAGTCGTCTAGCTCTTCCCATTATGACGACAATCAGTCGTCGTAACGTCAAAATAGTCATGAAAGACAGTTAATCATATTTTACTATATGAATGACTTCATTTAATAATACAAGGCACAATACTTTAAACTGCACGATTATCTGTCGTCATAACATAATGGGACCGCGCTAAGGCTGCTAACAGATTGACTGCATGCGTTATTGTGTGAAGTCGTAATCAACTTCATGAGACCTCGACTGCAAGGAGTTGATAACGACTTGACGCGTTAACTGCATACAGTCGATCTCTACTTCATAAAATCGGTTTCGACTTCATGCAGTCAATGCGTGAAGTCGCTATCAAATATCTCGACTGCATGAAGTTGATAACGAGTGTGTGCGTTATTTACAACGGTTGACAGGTTAAACGAGATAAATATTTAAAAAGGCAAACGAGTAGCTGATATCTAATCCGAATATGTAAAAAGAATCACCCCTAAAGATAAGAGAAAAAAAATTCTGCCATTAATAAATACTAACACACTCTTAATTTGGGCTACTCTATGAAATAGAACAACCGAGCGGTAGGCAATTGAACTCCCGCGTATCAAGGCTCCCTACTTAAAGAATACTATTTTAAAAAATCAATTTTCCCTACACACAAAGCGTGCGGACCTCGATCTTGCGCAGAGTATTACAAAATGCTAGAGGCAGTATTTTCCTTAGAGAAAAATATTTTAAAATAACGTAGTTTGTTTTATATATTCGCTATGGGTATCAGCTATCCATTCGCCTAATTCAACCTGTCACCCTGTATATATATAAATGCCAGAAACGCTTTATCTATTATTCTTAGTCTTTGCACAAATTACAAAGAGATATATTAAGACTCATTGTATTAACTATAGTCCGGTACGTACATCGGGTATATAACCAGAAATAGAGACGAAATGTCATTCAACTTGTTTGAAAACTATTCTGCTATAACAATACGGTGACAACTGCGCTCCGATTGGTCAGTCCGAATTCGAAACAATTGACGGGTGTCGTCAATTGTTTCACTTGAAATCTACCAGTTTAACTTGAGCTTTGCTGTAATGGACGAAAATTGAAAAATTACATAATTTAATATTTAATTACCGATGAAACGTGATCCCGTTTATTTTGTAATTAGATGTTTTGCTGTTTTTTTTTTGAGATATTATCTTTATTACAATAAATATGTCTAGAATATTTTTGGAATATACGGAGATGTATACACAGGTTAGTTGTTCGCACTATACGATCTCAGCTTTCTAATTTGTGATTTCAGCGCAAATGAGAGTTGATTTTTAAAAGTTATATCAGTACCATTTGACAGATGAGTTGCCAGGGATGGATAGCCTGTATTTCGTCTCTATTCCTGGTTATAAACTCGATGGGTACGTACGACTGTAGAAAGGGATGACCAAGTCTAAACTATCGGCAAGTTTGTCATGCTTGTTTGATGGTTTATTTGATCGTTTGGGATATTGTCTGTGTGAAAATCAAATTGTCGTAAGCCACATAATCGTCATTAGGATAATCTAGATAATAATAGTATAGAATAGAATAGAATAATAACAATAATAATAACGCACACACTCAACATAGCGCCTCACTAGGGAAACCCTGTGTCGCGGGTGCCATGGACACATACATAGACAAACACAAACTACACCCAAACTCACGAGAGAAATAAATGTGACCATACAAATATTTCTCCCGGCCCGTATAAATTAGGATAATGATCGTCTATTTCAAATCCGAGTTTATTGTTAAGAAGTCCTATTTTTTATAGATTTATTTGCTAGATTTCGCACAAAAAACTGGAACCGTTTCAGAATTATGATTTTTTTCGTTTTTGCAATTTTTGTTTTGGCTCCAGTGAAAAGTTGAGTTTTTGAGTGCTACAGCGTATTGTTTGTGATCATGAGCTTTCGCTCCGATCGCCCGCAGGCGCGAAGGTACGTCGCCGCCTCACCTCTCGACAGCCTCCTTCTAAAGCATCACCGCTTCACAGAAGGAAGCCACTGCCTTATGGGAAATCCGTCATACCTTAGGTTAACCGGTATTTTATCCGATATAACTGTAATACATGAATGTAAGTTCTGTCGCAATCACAAACTAATAAGAGATACTACGGATTATCACAATTACCTACGGCACAACAACGACTCGAAGGAACGTGGCGGATAAACCTTAGTTTCGAATTCACTACTTTGACATATTACTTGACGCTCACAATTATGCAGAACACCATTCAGTTAGAATTACATTAAATTTTACGTTTTTACCTTTAGTTCTATGTAAATATTGTACTTATATTGTCATAACTTAGGAAGATATTTTGATATTAAATTACTTTATTAAGTACCTACATCATATGATTTTCTATTTATTTTATTTATTATTTATTCCCTTCCATTTATATATAAAAAGTAATAAAAAGTGAAAACCTAAAAAAAAGGATGGCAGGCAAATAATGGCAGGTTTTTGTAATTACAAGCGCACGGAAAATCTATGATTTGGCGGAGGTGTTTTTACTTTCATAATTTAAAATTAACTAAACTTGGGATCATTCGAGTATTGGCGTTATATGTGTAAATTTTTGTATTTTCTCTTTCTTTTAAAGAACTTATACGATATTGTTAACGGAAGCTTGAAAAGAATATGTCGCAAATGTTTATAATTATATTTTTATCAGATTTCAAGGGCCCTGACTCAAGAATGGGCGTGACCCTACTAGACAAGACGCTGTTATTAATTTATACATAAGGCGCCCAACTAGGACCATATAACTCCGTAACTATTATTGCACCACCCTAAGTTTACAGTTAGGCTACGTTGAAATCGTGTAGTGTAATTAATAACGTTCATTTATGACTATTACAAAAAAAAAGATTGATGGTTATGGCGGTGCGCGCTGTCGCAATAATCATGCAGAAGTGCAAAAGCTGTGGAAAATTAGATACTGGCGAAAGCCTAAAAGGGTACTACTAATAATAAAAAATGATCCACGTATTTACAAAGATTTGTGTAATTTTATTTAGATAACAACATAACAATTTAGGTAGTTCCATTTTTTAAAATATTATTGTTAAATTATCATTCTTTTCCTTTTGTTCTCTGTTGTGTTTTCTCATTTCCTATAGTCAAATACCGCTCCTGTGCGGTTTTTTCTTAAATCCGTATCCTAAATTACATATCATATAATAAACTTTTATGTATATATACATATATATATGTATTTATATATGTATGTATATATGTATGTATGACACCTTTTTGTATCTACGGACAACGGCACGTCAGACTACACATTTTTGTTCGAAAATCGCCTCCAGTGCAACGGAACAAGATACCTCAATGTATGTGTAACATACCACACGCAAAAAGGTGTCCTAGTTTTTTTACGTCTTGCCATTGACTCCAATCCAATTATCCAACGCTGACCGCAAAAGCCAGAAAAAAAGTCAGTTTGACAGTGGTTTGACATTCGTTTCGATTCAGAGGTTAAGTTGTATTAAATTATAAATTTAGTTTTGTTAATTTATCAGTAATTTTAACGTATTCAACAGGTAGTAAGGTGTTCATTATGTTAAAAAGACTTACTTCAACCATTATACAGTCTCGCGGCATAAAACACACAGTGAAAATAAAATGGGTGAGACCGGAATACGTACCTGCGTACAAAGCAGAGAAATCTGGGGATTTAGAGGCTGTTCCTCCAATTCCACAAACTGCAATAGGACAGTACTATGCTCTAAGTGATGAAATAAAAGAGTAAGTTTCAATTTATTGTGTATGAAATAAATTAGAAGTGAAAATGGATTCGTCCAGGGTTATTCAGCCACGGTACCTATTTCTGTCGCCAAGAGGTAATGGTGCTGATGAAACACAAATACATGAGACTTGTCAACTTTATGTCTCGGAGTGACGGACTCAGTGACAGTGTTCCTCGGACTTTGGCGATTTTAAACTTTGAGAGAGCATTGCTACGGGTGGGCGCGTCCCTTGCCAGTAGATGCGCGTCTTTTGGTAGGATTGTACAATTTACACTCGAATCAGAGAACGAAAAAGTAACGAAAATGGATACTCTCCAACCATCTTTCGCTTTAGATACCGCATCATGCCCAACAGATTTACGGTCTAAATGACAACAAGGCTGTTCGCAAGTCGTTTTCGCGAAGTCAGCTTTGATATTTAAATATACTTTTTATTAGAAGCAACCAAGATTTACCTAGACCTGTGTAAAATACATTTGTTTTCTTGGTGTCAAATGTACAATTAGTCATAGATTCTAAGCTTTTTAAGTAAATATGATAAATTTTAAAAATAACACAAAATAAACATTTTCGTAAAAAAAGGATTTAGGAATGAATGGTCGCACGCACTTTGCATTATTTAAAAAATTTGCCGAGGCAATCAAACGTTGTGAGTTTCTAATCTACAAAACCTGTTTCCTATCATTTATTTTCGAATATTTCACAAATTTTTATTCTCAAAACTACGAGTTTCAGTAAGTCAATATTCTAGGATTGGACTATAATACTAACACTGCTACAACCAAATGCTGTGTGTTCCTAGCCTGCAAAACCTGTTTTCTGTCATTAATTTTCGAATATTTCGATAATTTTTATAATCAAAACTAGTAGTAAATATACAAGTTTCCATAAGTTAATATACTGACTATGTAGTCTATTCACCATATGAATTTCAACTCTCAACTCGAGTGTTGGTATTGTACTGTCTAGCCTGTCTTTTTCATCCCGTCATTAGACATCATAATAAAACCTTGCCATAAAACAACCAGCTTACTAGCAGTACAGCTCTTTGTAGAAGACAGTGATTTGTCCAGGGAAGTGGGTACTGCCACTTTACCTATTTCTGCCAGCAAGGCAGTAATGTGAGCGTTACTGTGTTCGGGTTTGGATGGTGGTGAAAATACAGGCTGGGATTTGCTAACTTATGTCTGAGGGTGACAGGTGCAGTGGCATTGCCCCTCAGGTCTTTGCGATTTAAAACTTTGAGTGGCACTGCAGCTTTATGAATAGGCATGTTGCTTACCACCCTTGGTATAAAAAAAATTTAAAATAACCACAGATGTCTCAGTCTTTTGTCTAGAAAACCTTTTTAAATAATAATAATGTGCCAGACTAATCACACCAATTGCGCGTTAAATGTAATTCGTCTAAAACGGGGTTGTTATTTTTTTTGTGTGGTTCACCTAGTGCTCAGCTAGGTTCAGCAGCACAGAGAGGTGCAGCCACCGGTCCTCCCTCCGAATCAGGGACTAGTGCGACCGGTAACGCCTGAGGAAGTCCACTTAGCTCTTCGTCGCATGAAGAATCGGAAAGCTGTCGGAGCCGATGGGGTTCCCATCGAGGCCTGGAAGGCAATGGGTCCCCGTGGTGTGGGCATCCTTACCGGCCTCTTTAATCGCGTGCTCCTCACCGGTAAAATCCCTAACCAATGGAGACTGAGTATTATCACTCCAGTCTTCAAAGGGAAGGGATCGGTGCAGGAGTGTGGCGATTATCGGGGCATAAAGGTCATGTCCCACACCATGAAGCTCTTCGAGCGTATAATAGACTCTCGGATCCGACAGGAGAGTGCTGTCTCGGAGGGTCAATATGGGTTTCGGCCTGGTCTTGGGACCATGGATCCTGTTTTTGCCCTAAGGGTCATCATGGAGAAATACAGATTGAAGAATACGCCTCTGCATTTCATGTTTCTTGACATGCAGAAGGCCTTCGACTGTATCCCCCGTGTAATGATCTGGTGGGCACTGAGATCCAAAGGGGTACCAGAAGCTTATATTGACATCATCCGAGACATGTACCGCGATTCCGATTCCATGGTTAGGACTGCTGTTGGTGACACTAAACCCTTCCCTGTCACAGTCGGAGTTCACCAGGGCTCAGTTCTCAGTCCCTATCTGTTCAGCGTGATATTAGACGAGGTCTCAAGCTCCATCCGAGACACGCATGAGCAACCCCCGTGGATGCTTATGTACGCTGACGATATCGCGCTGGCGGATGCGGATAGAGGGAGACTGGTACGACGAGTGAATGTGTGGAAGGAGTCGCTTGAGAACGGCGGTCTGAGACTAAATGTGGCGAAGACTGAGTACATGGTCTGCAACGCTACAAATCCCCTACCCGTACGCATAGGCGAAGACGCGGTCGAGCCTACGGGCCAGTTTAAATACTTGGGATCTGTACTTAGCGCGTCCGGAGACATCGACTGCGACGTCAGAGCCCGAATCGCAGCCGCTTGGGCAAAGTGGCGTGAGGTGACTGGTGTAATTTGTGACCCCAAGATGCCGGTTAAGCTGAAAGGACAGGTCTATAAATCCATCATTAGGCCTGTCCTTTTATATGGCAGTGAAACGTGGCCCGTACTTGAGCGTCATAAGCAGGAGCTGCGTGTCACGGAAATGAAGATGCTGCGCTGGATGTGTGGAGTTTCACGGAAAGACCCTGTCAGAAACTCCCGCATCCGCGGCAGCCTTCATGTCCGTGACATTGCAGATAAACTGCAAGAAAGCCGCCTACGTTGGTACGGCCACATCTTACGGAAACCGGCATGCTACGTGGGAAACAAATGTCTGGCTATGCCACCTCCGCCGGGCCCCGGTAGAAGGGGCAGACCCAAGAAGTGCTGGCTTGACGTCGCCAAGGGTGATATGCGTGCCAATGGTCTCACCACTAAGGATGCCGAAGACCGTGCAAAGTGGAGGAGAAAAAGTAGGAAAGCGGACCCCGGGCTCCGCAGCAACCCTGCTGAGGACGCAACCGGGACAACGCTAAGATGAGAGAGAGACCTAGTGCTATAGTTTTTTGGTCGCCCTAGGGTCTCTAACTTGACCTAATGACTGCTACCAGGGCTAGAATGGGGTATGATTGAATAACAAGCTAAATATTGCAACGAATGTGCTATTCGAACGAACTCTTCTAAAACTTTTACTTTATTTTCGTCTCCAAACTCAAGCAGAGCTCTTATGCTTTTTTTCCTCAGCTAGTGGTATCATTGTTCATAACGGGTTCAAATTGGCTAAATCAATTAATGCATCCGCACAATCCAGGGTCGCGCAAAGCTGGGTATTACTATACAAGGGCAACGAAATTCACTCTGGAGCACTTTCCAGAAAACTTTGTCCTGAACCAATTTAGAAAAGTTAACTTCACATTGGTTGTACCTGGAATCGAACCAAAGACCTCCTCATTCAGCACACACAGCATATTCTTACCATCAGGTCGCTGTCGGTTCACCATACTCATCCCAATAATAAAAACAAATGTTAGTAGTAGTTTCGTTATTGTTTTTATGAACATCTAATGTGTTATGAACTTCGTTTTCACTGTATACATTTAAAGTACAGATGTTAAACTTTAATCTTTCAGTGCCTCTGACACCGTAAAAAAACTCTTTTCCGTGGCACATCTGGGAGCAAAAGAGTATAATGCATTGGTAAAAGAACAGCTTATTAACAGGGTCAGACGGCATAAGTATGATGAGAACACTGCTGAAACTAGAAGTAAGTGTTTTTGAACAAGTACTGTAAATAACATTTTTAGTTGACTTCTAAAATTTAATTACATATAAATAAATTTTCGTTTAAAATAGGGCACAACCTTTTCAATTTCTTTGATAGTTTTTTAACCATAATTTATGATGACGGTTACTAAATTACTCAGCTTCACAGATGTCCGTCACTTAAAAAGATCTGATCTTTCTCTAGTTGCTGAGACACAAAGAAGAGAATATTTTTAAAATTCACTATTGCATGTTCACATTTTTGAACTTGCAGTTGCAAGACTCACAGGCCACATCAGATGTTTACAGCAAACCATGGAGAAGTTTCCAAGGGAAATGAAAGCTAAGGTAAAAAGATATAGATATCACTAATATAGTAGTTATACTTAATGTGACCATTGTTTTTGCCTTAACAGCAAAACGCCTCTAAATTTATTATTGTTCACAAATAAAACACATGTTTATAATAGTTTTACAATGTTTAATGATTAAAAAGATTTAAAAGAAAACAACTAAAAATGATTTATCATCAAAAATTTTAAAAAGAACTGCTCTTTTGTAGTCTGGTCGGCTGGCTTTATATATTTTTCAGATGAGCAAAGCAATGGCAAAATCATAATTAAAACAATTCGTTAGCGTCTTCAAATGCTTCATAATTACAAGCTTGAATAAATAAATTCATTAGGTTTTTCAAATTACAATAACAGCCTATCTAAGTCTGGAAATAAAATCATATTTAAAAGAAACTCTAATATGACTAATTAGTATGTATGTAACCGGACTGATATCTACAACTATCAGTAACGTTGAGCGACATCTAGCCGCCAAAAAAGGAATTTCAGTACCTACGGATTTGTAATCAGCTAACAAAAGATTAACTACTTCATTACAAAAAATGAAGTTGATAATTCTCTCTGCAAAATGCCACGCGAGAAAATGGCAAAACAGACAAAATAGTTCCCAAAATCTGGGCTAGATGGCACGTTTCACAAAAAAATAATTTATGTCTGAGTTACCAGTGCAATAGTCTGTGGTATGTTAGTAATTAACTCAGTTTTTTTGTTATGGCTTAACTTCATGCCTATTGACCATACCAGTATACGAAATAAATTCCTTTGAACTTTCGTCACGTCACAAACTCACTGAACTATTCAGCTTTTATTAACTCTGTTTAAGGCTTCTGTAATTTATTTTGATATAATAATACATCGAATATATTTCCGAAACTTCAAACTGGAATATCTTTAATTCCTGACTTCTCAGAATAGTAAACCCAAAACAAAATTTGTTCAGGATTTTTTTTTCAATATTGACTGAACTGGCAATCGCTACCATCTCAATTTTGACAACTTTACAGGATGAAGAAAGAAATTGTTTGCGTCACTTATAAGTATATCACATAGATATAGAAAAAAAGGGGAGATATGGTATGGGGGCGTGGTTCGTGTCGCCTCGATATGATCATTTTGATCATACCGAGGTGACACGCCTACAGACATCGCCACAGTGACATGGCCATCGTTGTACATACAAGATCTCTTGTAAGACGTGAAAATGCCAAGTTGTAGCGATACACCTAGTAAAAAATTGAGTGAAAACAAAAATGTTAAAACCAGTGAGATAACATTCCACCGGCTATTTGCAGTTTTAATTACTATGTCTATTATTATTCAATGTTTTCTTTTTGTCTCCATAGAAATTTCTAGGCTCAAATATAGTGATGTTCATTTACGATGACTCATGTTTATCGACAATAAAATTTTTACTGAAATGTTTGAATTTCTATGTCTATGATTTTTGTAATTAAAGTCCCTAAAATATCGAAGCGAAAAGCATTCACCTTAAATTGATTTCTTTTATTTTATTATTATTATTATTACTAAACATTTTATTTCGAGTAACTTTAACACAACTCATATTTCGGACAACCGTTTCAATTTCATGTCAATTTGTATGTTGCTGTTGCTTAAAGAAAAATGTATGTATATTTTTGTTTTAGATATTTAAGATATTTAAATTCCATTATATTCGTAGATTAAACGTAGAGTATTTTTAATTTTTAAGTTTTTCCAATGAGTTTAAAATAAAAGAAGGTTGGATTGAAGCTGCAGCAAAATCGAAATATCTTATTACTATTTCTGACTTTGTTTCAATTTCCATAGCAAATGCATTTAAAAAATAAATAAAATAAAATACAATTATAGAAAACTACATAAATCCTTCATAAAAAAACAATATAATTTAATTTATTAAATTCGTTGATGGTTTGAGTTTACGCTTGACAGTGACAGATTCACCAACCCGTAGTAACGTGTCATGGAAAATTGACACTGACGACGATTGCCTTTTATATTATTTTTATATTATTCTTATAAAACTGACACTGGTCCAAGCCTAGTGGCCGCCATTAAGAAAATAATAATAATTTATATTAATATATTAATTTAATAATACACCACTACCAATATATATAGTATGAAAAGTATTAAAATATTTTTTTTAATATTAAAAACAACCTCATGGTTTCCAATTATCGATTAGGTAGGACCACATCCCTCGTTGAGTAGCGTCAGTGTAAGGTTAATAAGGTTAACAATTCACGGAGCGGTTTCCATCTGCGCCCGCCGGTGCTGCTAAACAGCGGTTTTATTTCAATACTCACGACCCTGCAAGTTTGTGCGGACACGTAGCCGCCGCGGTTGCGGGCACGAAATCGTTGCGATTGCGGAACGGACCGTGAAGTTAGTGGGAGTTAATTGCAAGTCGCGCGGTTAATAGAGAACTCACCCCGCGTGCGCCTGTACTACATTGCTCCTGAACCGACCGCCAAAGTGCGCGGGCGATGACGGCCGTCAAGCGCGCAGGTCATCGCGTCCTGCGCGGTTCTACTAGTACCCCGTCGCCGCGACCGCGAGCAACCGTCACCACTACAGGCGTAAAACGCGCCGTGAAATGTGCTACTAATTTTACATACTCAACTGTTACATCCTACAGATGCCGCGGTCCCGCGGCAGACGCGGGTGAAAACCGCTCCGTGAGTTCTTAGTGTAACGAAAAATGAGTTTCAGCGCCATCTAACGTGTAATAGTTAGCTATTGTATACTAGTATCATTTTTACTAAAACGCCACCTGATGGTGCATGGCTGAACCAGGATGAAAAAAATAATGAAATATTGTAATATAACTCTTATTCAGTGAAGTGTAATTTTGTTAAATTTTAAAATTGTGTTACGTCGTTTTGACGTTTTAAGCCCTACCCAATCAAAAACTTTAAGTTATGGTAGTAGATAATAGAGCGTAAAGTATGAATGGTACACAAGCTATAAAGTGGCGACATTGGTACCCGATCTTACATAGCGTATTTACATAGCTCCTCTTTTTTTCTACTAAATAAAAATACGTTGTTTTTAAATATTTTTATTACACATGTATGTATATACATTACGTATTTTTATTTACTAAACCAGATGCTATATAAATGATTTTTTCTTCATCCTATAAAGTTGTCAAAATTGAGATAGTACCGGTTGCCAGTTCACAGTCGATATTTTTCATAAACAGACGCATACAAATTATGTCAATAAAAATTGGTATGGGAGTTTGCCATTGTCCTTTGCTTTAATATTTCAGGTCTAGTTTTTAAATCCTCTCCACGGTAGCCCGGCCCTCAGCCCACATCATGGCGCCGATTCATTCCCGCCAAAAACAATGTACACGCAGTACGGACGCGCAACTTAAAGGCGCGGGCGACAAAAGGCTTACTTGCTGCTAAGCTTTCGCGCTATTTTTTAAATTTATTGTCACGTGGGTCCTGTTTCGTCAAAGTGGAATTTTTTAAGCATTTTGGGGACATAAGTCTTTTTCTACATAAGTTTTGATTATAGTGACGATCCCTACTGACCCTTAAGGTGTACGAGAAGGGCACTATAACCTGTGCAAGCAAGCCCGCACAGGAACCTTCTCAGTCAGGTACTGACCCCAGATCAGTCCGCTTGCACCCGTGAGTTTGCCATGCGTGATTTGCCCCGACGTCCAGATGGTTACCGGAGCTATTGGCATGCTTACTTTCCGTTGTGCATTGTGCAACTGACGGTTGCCACCGCTAAGGGCGCGTCTCACTATGTCGTGACGACAGATTGTCGTGCAGTTTACAGTGTCTATATTTACTGTACAGTGTGTATATTTAAATGAAGTTGTTCACATATACCACGACACGATTAACTGTCGTTCACGATTTTTTATCGTTATAACGACAAACTGTCGTCACAGTGGGAACAGCTAGAACGACAGTCGTCAGACGATAAAAAAACGTCACGATAAAAACGTGACGTCAGATTGTCGCAGCTCCTATTGTCGTCACGATCTAGTGAGAACAGCTAGTCACGAGTCGTTCAACGATAAAAAATCGTCCACGACAGATAGTCATCAATATGGGAACATGCTAGACACGACAGTCGTCCAACGAGAATAAATAGTGACGACGTAGTGGGAACATGCGCCATAAGCACTCTGAAGTCCACTACTAAATTTCCACTTTGGTAGTGGCATTGGCATTTTGACATGAAGCTGCTGTGAGTTTGCCAACTAAAAATGGTAGTAACAATATTTATATCTTTTTACAAGCAAGTACATAAAGTCAGTAGCGTGTTTTACACTATATTTGTTACCAGCCTATTAGAATATATAAAGGCTGTTGATAAGGTATCTCTAAACTATAAAATAATTAAAAATACAAAATCCTTAAATATTTGCAGAAAACAGTCCAGGAGTTAATAGACAAGAGAAAGAAGTTGTTAAAATTTCTACGCCAATACGACTACAAGAAGTTTGAGTGGCTCATTGATCAACTGAATATTGAGTACAAGGGTCATCCTGAGTAAGTTTTGTCATGTACATATTTACTTAGTTACTGTTTTTGTATAAACTCACATCCTATTAAACCTATTAACATGCATTTTCAAATATCGACATTGTTTTGTAGAAAGGACGAAAGCGTCATTTGGACTTCTTTTATGCATGTTTTAAAATATTTACGTCCTGTTTTAAATTAAATATTAAGACTTAAACTTAATTAAAACCAAAATTGAATTTTAAAACAGGACGTAAATATTTTAAAACAGTTGTTAAAATGTGCAACATTCTCCCCTGAATTTTTTTCCAAAATTTTTTTCCAAAAGTTTTCGCCCTCTCTACAAAGCATTGATGATGTGAAGTTTATTGATTGAATATCACAATGTTTAACTACTTTGATAAATTTTTTTTGGGAGCATTAACAAAGATAATAGGGGCCAATATAAAATAAAATCTCGAATACAAGGGCTTATATGAGATGGTTCTCTCAATGCTGGTCACTTCTTACACACGTGAAATTAAATTCGTAAAAAATATGATGTGTCATGCCAGGTCTGAGCTTATGTCACATGGTATTATTAACGAAAAATTGTTATAGCATATTCCAACTAGTCTTCTGCCTATTTATCTTTTTAAATTATTATTTTCCAGAACCTATCATAAACTATCTCGGAAAGAATCACTCCGCAAGCTAACAGAAATGCATTGTGATGATATCCGTAATAACAAAATAACAGATTACCGCAACCTTCTAGAAAGTCAGCAAGGACCATTTTTGATGGAAAAACTCAACGCTTTAAAGTTCATAAAGAGTGAACAAATGGAGTTACAACTACCAGTTACAGTTACTGACCAAGATATTAAAAAAGTGGAATGTATGTATGAAGAATGGAAAATAAAGGATGATATCAAACAACAAGCGAAGAAAAAGAAGAAAAACCTCATTGTTGAAGTTGAATGATGTAAATTTGATTACAGTGTATAAGATTGTAGATAATTATATTTGGTTGTTTAATTTCTATTGTTTATCCTATAACTTTTATATGCTATAAAAGTTGACAATGTGTCAGGGCTCTACTACGAAATCTGGAAAAGAAAACAACGATAAATCGTTTTAGCTTTGTTATGGACTTGACGGGTGCATTTGCGATAGCCGGGGGTCTACTCTCGCTCTCTGTCCGAAACAATTATGATGCGAATGAAGCTTTATAATTGATAAACTAAAGGGCCCCATTCACTGGCAAATATGTTGGCAGTGTAGATATTCCTAAATCTATGGTTGGCAGTTAGGGAGCATGTTTAGATCACTATCATCCACAGCCCGACTTCGCGTTCTTTATTCCAGTGTTGCTAGAACCACCTTTTTGGTATTTTTTTATATTTGACTAATTGACGATTTTTTGGATGCAACAGGATCTAAACTACGAGCTATGGTTCTCAAAATTAAAAAAATGGTGCCGCTGGAATCTGCTTATTTTCAGAGTGAACAGTTAAAACAAACTTTTGTAATTTCGTGTCCGTCAGGATGTCTGGACCAAACGAGATATACAAATCAAACTGTGCTCATTATTTACTACCTATTTTCTACTATTTAGTACCTTTATAATATATAAAGATATATAATATATAATATTTTCTACCTTTGCGCTGACGGAAATATTAAAAAAATTAAGTGGCAAGCCATTCTGATGTCAGGTTGGCTGGACCACTTTACATTTTTCAGAGTTCTAGCAGTATATAATTTACTTTTTTTATGTAACTATTTACTACCTAAACTTACTTTTTTTCACTATTTTAGGAAGCTTCTATAAGTTATTTAAAAAATATATTAAAAAGTCCAGCGATCCTGACGGACACGTAACTTTGATATAGTGGATCGACTAAATCTAGTTTTTAGCGACTAGATCTGACTAAATGAAGAGTGTACCTAACTAATCAAGGATACATCTAATCATGGTCACGCTGGGTTGAGGACGACCCGACTTCACCCACCACGATGTTGCAGTCTCACCATCTGCGATCTGCAAATTTTACCATGTCGTCTATCCATCTCGTTGCTGGCCGTCTCTGTAACCACTTCTTGGCCAACGATTTGGTTTTCACACCTCGCAATATGACATTATGTTAGTCGACATATGATCATACATTTTTGGCCTAAATTGTCGGGAGACATATTGGGATGAGTCTTCAGTCTGTGCCTGTGGTGCTATTGATTGTTCCTAGCTGACGCGGTGGTGATGTGATTAATAAAAAATAAAAAAAATTGTAAAAAAATATTTATTAAAAAATACATATTATCAATAAAAATAAACCTTAACGACTATAATTAAAAATAAAAAAATAATTATAAAAAAATAAAAGCGTAGAGTCAAAATCAGTCGAATTTGGACGGATATTTTACAATAAAAATGTCTAATTTCAAAAAACCCTAATTCAATATTAAAAGTACACTTAATCTAGGTATTTTTAGTTGGAATGTTCGAATGTCTGGAAGACTGTCTTTACATTTATGTTTATGACTTTAATGCTTTCAAAATGCAGATCCAATTTTTGAAGAAATATTTCAATAATCATTTATATACACTCACAGGCGATTAAATCGGGCTAGATTATGAATGACTGCATATATTTTAAATAATATGAATAATAATAGAGCTAGGATCTTGAAAATATTTTGTTTAGTTTATGTTACGTTGCTGTATTAAATTTTTGTAATTTTTTTAGTAAACATTTTTAGATAAAAAAAATTAATAGTTTCCTTTGTTAAACACACGAATGTGCACAACATAACGGTTATATAGAGATTATTTTTAACAATTGGCACCAATGGGAATGATAAGTATAATGGTCTAACATCTAACATCACTTGGAAAAAAGTTGTATGATAATGTTCCTCTCAACAGTCTGCAACATCAAAATTTAATACGAAAGCTTGTGCTCTCTCGCATAGTACACCCACACTCTTAAAATTAGTAAGCGAAAAACTTGATGCTGGCGAAATCCTAGAAGGAACACGAAGAAGTATCGACCGGAATAAGCATGGTAACGAAGCCAAGAAGTAAAACGATGAAGTATAGTTCGGAATAAGCAGGGTATATTTACTTCAATTAATACACACAGAGTGAATAATACCTCCCTCTGTAATACCAGATAAATTCAAAAAAATCAAAACAAATGGTTATATTATTATTTTTTATTTTACTCTATATACATACTGTATTTAAGTAATTGCTAGTTACACATCAAAATTGTAGAATAAAATACTATCACTCGTATGTGTATTATTTATATAGTTAGAAATTTAATTATACTCTGCTTATTCCAATGTCTGGCTGTGCATTATTGAAAAGGTTCCAAGAGGAGCTTTTTAAAGGTGTAGTAAACGCCACGTGATAATACATTTTTGTACAATTTACAATTACAAATTTAAATTCCAAAACCGCAATTTACAATTTTGCATGGCAAATTGTGCAGCGCCTAGTGGCTACAAGAAGTAAAATTTTGTAAGCAAACACGATCGCTAGCGACATCTGTCATCCTAAAAACAGTAAAGATGCAGGTTGTAACATAAACGTTTTTAATTTTCTATCATGTTGATAATCGATGCCTTACTTTCTCAAACTCGTATCTTATAAAGAGTGATTATTCAGGAGATAAGAAAACTTTCTATTTATTTTACATTTCTAATCAAAGGTGTTAATTTGGATGCATTACTTTAAAAATAATTAAACAATATATTGTACATATACAATCCATTTTTTTGCATTTCCTTAACTTCGTGCTGTAAGACACGAGTTAGAGAAAGAAAGGCGACGTACATTACAAAGCCAATAGTAGTAACGGTAATATTACATGTCAGACCAAAATTCCAATAACTTAAAGAGACGTAGTATGCGGCGCACGCGCATAAGCTGTGGGTATGAATCCGGAGCGACGCGACTTGGGCGCGTGGGCCCATAGCCAGCCTTCGACGGTTTGTTGAGTCAAGTCTGCATACACCCATTCCCCGCGTTTTACTGATAAATCGTCGGGTGCTTGCGCCTGGAAAGTATTATACTGATTTAAATAGACAAATTCATTGAGTATTCATCTTTTTTTGAGGGAGGATTAAAGTGACGTTTTCAGGGTTGCCAGTTTTCGTATAATTCTATATAGTCATGTAGTAGAGTTTCGTATAATTTTCTGACTTGATTTAAAGTAGTGTTGTAATAGATAATATTAAAAAATTTAAAGTAAAAAATGTATGAATAGTTTGCATTATAGCCTTCATTATTCTTATTTTGACAGGTTGATTTTGTCAAACCAAAAAATACAAAAACATCAAATAGAGCATTTTGACACAAGGCTACAAAAAGGATTTTAGTTTTTTATTCATTTAATTTACGTTGTACATTAGATACTAACAATTTTCTTTCCAACCTTTTCAAGTTGAAATTTTTTAATTTTCAATGATAATGAGATTTGTTTTCATTTACGTTATTTATTTTAATTGCAATTTCATGTTATTGTCAGTTAAATTTATTAATTAATCTGTTTGATTTGTATATTGAATTTTATGGATTTAATTAGTCCGAAATAAATTATTTTTATTATAGGCTATTTATTTCTATTGAAAAACGAATAAATTTGTTTTCACTTGACAACAGCCGAAATTCTTGTAATGAAATTATGAAACACTGTATTGGGACTTGCAATGTTTTGATATAACACGGTAGGGGTAGCCCACTTGTATCGAAATCAATTCGTGAGGTACTTATTTTAATGAAAATTATGTACTTTAGACTATACAACCACAGATAACACATCCGCGGAAGAATGACAGTAGGTGCATGTCATTCTTCCGCGGATAACTAGCAACAGCAACATCTAATCTTCGGCCCAAGTCTGCTATTTTTTTAAAGTACTGGTTATTGTAATTCCATTGAGACTCTTGTTCTGCTAAAATCCAGTTGAGTCCCAATACAGTGTCACTAGAGTGGCAGTGACGGCATTCATTCATTCATTCAATCACTAACGATCGATGTTGCCTTACTAAAATTACTTTACTTTTTTATTCATTGCTATATCTTAATTTTTATCTCTAATCAGCTATTTAGTCTTTAAATGAAATATATTTTTCATGTCAAATAATTAGTAGGCTACGCCATCGACACGTCGTTGAAGAACAATGCCAAAAACACTGCAATGGCAGTACCTTGATGGCCACTAGTATAACTTTTAGTGGTATATTGCTTATGTCATTTTCTACATTTTTATTTTGGGTGGGTTGCATCAAAGGGTAAGCGTGACTGCAGCATCCATTGAAAATTTGGTGTCAAAGACTTCAGGTAATGTTTGATAAATTTTACATCATCCTGTATCTTTGCTTTTGTCGCTAAATTATAAAAATAACTTAATTGCGATTCGTTAGCTATCTGTTGCCAATAATAATAAAACTCCTGTGCGTAGTCTATCTGCGATAGGAATTGCTCTATTAACTTCTAAGCAATTATGCTTTACGTCGTGCATGACGAAAAATTGATTTTATACCATTGAAGAGCTGGCCCTTCAAGATACGTTGCAATCACGTACGTCTTTTGCACATCTGACCAATTATTAATTACGCTGATCGCCTCTAAATTCGTCTACATCGTTTAAGCCAGAAAACTTTTGCGCCGCGACCCGATTCATTTTCTTCCTTGCCCTTTTCACTAGCACAATAGGATAAAAGCAAGTAAATATAAATAAAAATTACGACCTTATATGTTTCTTCTTCCTTAAGAAACATATGTCTTAATTTTTATTGACTGAACGGTAAGTTAGATGGGTGTCAAGAAATGAAACGGTAAGTTATATGGGTGCGAAGAAAGCATATATGTTCTTAATTGTACAACATACTCTCCGTACAGAGTACTAAAAAAACCGACCTCAAAAGTACGTGGAATTACGTCTATTTGCTAAGTTTTATTGAAATATTCCCTAGTTCGCCACTATACGGGAGACTGTACTGTTCACACAGGAGATAATAAAAATCGGTTCGCACTACTCAAAGTATATTGAGAGAGAAAAAACGTCTTGAATTGGAGCACAGCAACACCAACCATTAAAATAATTATAAAAATGAATGTTCATGCGTGATCTGCCACCATTATAGGTGGATGATTTTCTTCAAAATGAAATGGGACTACTATGGAGGTACCCTCTTTCCAACAAAAAAAGAATCATGAAAATCGGTTCACAAATACTGGAGTTACCGCGTAACATACATACAAAAAAAAGACAGTCGAATTGAGAACCTCCTCCTTTTTTGAAGACGGTTCAAAAGATGAACAGTTATGTCATATTAATTCATTTTTAGGAAACAATTGTGTATATACAAAGTTTTAAAGTATTACTGCAAATTCTGAATTATAATAGATTCTAAACAGGGTGTTAGAGAAATACAAGTCCTTAAGCTCCGAGCTCAGAGCTCCCTGTGAAAGAGTTCGTCCAGGGTAGTACTACCACCTTACTTATTTCCGCCGCCAAGCAGTAATGTCAGCATTACTGTGTTCCGGTTTGGAAGGGTAAGGGTGCTAGTGAAATTACAGGCACAAGGGACTTGTCAACTTATGTCTCAGGGTAACGGGCGCTTTGGCAGTGCCCGTCAGATCTTTGCGATTTAAAGCTCTGAGTGGCACTGCAACTGATAAGGACAGGCGTGTAGCTTACCATCAGGCGCATGATCTTGTTCGTTCCGTCACTTAATATTTTATAAAAAAAAAAGAATCTAAAAAATAATACTCTATCGGCATATAACTGATTTTGACGGCCTCTGTGGTTGAGTGGCTTGCACAACGATTTGCACGGTGTCGCCATCCTTGAAGACCCGGGTTCGATCCCCGGCCGGGTCAGTATAGAAAATTAACTTCTATATTGTCTCGGATCTGGTTGTTTGTGGTACCATCGTTGTTTCCAATTTCATAACCCAAGTGCTTTAGCTAGTCTTACTTTAAAATCAGAGCCACGTAATTGATGTCGTTTAATATAATATATATAACTGAGATTATTTAAAATTGCAGTCTTTGCGTCCTGATATGGATACTGAAAATAAATATGAACTTCGGGAAGCCGATTTTCCATTTCTACTTTATTTTGGGGCACAACAGCAAACATTCAATAAGGTAGTTGGCTCCGACGAATTTTCTTGGCAAACTGGGATCTGTCCTGTGACGATAAAAAATATGGACTTCGTGCGTCATATTGCAATATGTAGAGAAACAAATGCATACCTTATAATCATAAAGCATGACTAGCTCAGTCCCGTGGTAGCGGCCGTCGCTGTCTTGCGCAGTGGTATTCAGTGTGGTGTTTAACATTGAGTTGTTTGCGTTCGTTGCGGTAGGTGAATGCAGTGTTTGCGTGCTTTCTTGTTGTGATGCTGAAACAGAGACGCAGTTACATTTTAAATGTGTTGTTCTGCCCTGATAAGCCGAAAAGTGCTATCTCAATCGGATTAAGTTTTGAGCAAATCGACTTTTTGTAAATTGTATTTTCGCATCTTTAAAAATAAAACTTATTTATATGTATTTTTGATTAATAGAGATATTGACATATCTACCTTTGTGAGATACCGCTATTTTGATTATAAAGAAAGCCGCCAAATCTATTAGTAATTTAAGGAAAAATTGAGATATACTTCTTAGTGGTTTTTTAAATGTTTTAAGTTTGATAGCGCTATTTCTATTATACCATTAGATGTGAAATTATTGTAGTTATTGAATGGTATAAAAAAAAAACTAAAAGGACGTATCTCAGAGATAGCGCCTTTCGGCTTAGCAGGGCAGTGTTTTAAATTTTTATTGAATTGATATTCAATTACTTTTTGTGAAATTACTCCACTAGTTTGTTATAATTATTAATACAAAGATCGAACACTAAGAAAAAATTCCTTCGATCCGGCTGGATTCGAACCGACATCTTCTAACTTACCGTGGCAGACGCTATACCAACTAAGCCACGGAACGAATTTTTCTAAGTGCTTGCGTCGTGTCTTTGTATTTGGTTTTTTAATGACTTTTTAGTCGTAGCGCCATGTATGAGAAATCTATGAAAGATTTATCACTCAGTTACTACCTTTACAGATACCAGTCCTGGCGAGAGATGTCACTATTCACTGTATTTTAAATTTTTATTGAATTGATATACAATTATTTTTTGTGAAATTACTCCACTAGTTTGTTATAATTATTAATACAAAGATCGAACACTCAGAAAAAATTCCTTCGAGGGCAGTGTTGTTGTTAAAACAAGTTTTAAAACAGAATAATACATTACATTCCGCATAGAATTGCCTTTTTGAAACCGAATTATATTTAGCAGTCGATATAAGTAAACATAACGCAAGAAATATAATAAAATTATTTGATATTCAATTCTCAACTGCAAACTGGCTTTCAAATTACACGGTTAGGGCACTGTAAGATAGTAAATAAATAATAATAAATAACGCGTACACACTCATAGCCACGCACTAGGGAAACCCTGTATCGCGGGTGCCACGGACACACGTATAGACAACTACAAATTACACCCAAAGTCATGAGAGTGAAATGAATATAGGCCATACAAATATTTCTCCCGGCCCGGGAATCGAACCCGTGGCAGTCCAGCATGGTAACCGTTCGGCCACAGAGGCAGTCATACTAATATGGTTCATTTTGCTTGCACACTGGCATTACTTCAGAATTTATTTTATTACATACGAAATTAAAACCATTTGAAAAATGTATATCATATAGTATACGTGTTCTGTTTAATTCAGTTGATATAAAAAAAATCATTGATATATGTAAAGTACTTATAGAATACAGCGGTTTTCTTGTAAAATTCGAGGTAAGTTTTGTGTTTTTTTCTATCACGATTCCTAATTTTTAGGAATCGTGTTTTCACACTGTATAGAGTAATCTTTTATCCAAAGTGATGGATTCAACACTCTCACAGTTATGCGGAATCAACCAAAGCCATTTGAGGTTCCATCGACTCTAAGGCTAGATCAAAACAGTTATATTTGCTAGCAGAGATTGTATTTGAACTTGCCCCGTATAATTCATATAATATTTTTTGTGAAAGCCTTTTGTTTGTAATAAAAATATTATCTAAACCTAAACGCCATAGGGTGACAAGAAAAATCAAGTTGCCGGTGTCCGTTATTAACCGATGTTGCTGCACGCGTCGACTTTGCTGACAGTACGTACCTTCGTTAACTATTATATTGCGACACAGGCGTGGTAGTGTTTTAGGTATGTGTGTGATAATTATTAATACAAAGATAATACACTTAGGAAGAAATCGTCCGATCCGAGTGGACTCGAACCAACGTCTTCCAGCAAACCGTGACAGACGCTATGCCACCTAAGCCACGGAACGAACTAACGGACATTACGCATTTTTCTATGTGCCTGTTGCAGGTATTTGTTTTATACGACTTTTTTAGCGATTTTTTTGTCGTAGCGTCATCTGTGATAAATCTATTTCTTCACTCAGCCAGATAACTTTAATATTTGTAATTTTTAAGCTTATTGAAAATGCATCAAGTATATAGCCAGAAATAGAGACGAAACGTCATTTAATTTGTTTGAAAACAATTCTGCCATATAATTACTGTGATAACTGCGCTCCGATTGGTCAGCCCGAATTCAAACAATGGACGAGTTTCATCAATAGGTGTCGTCAATTGTTTTACTTCAAGTCGACCAGTTAACTTGAGCTTTGCTATAATGGACGAAAATCGCAAAATATTTAATATTTAATTACCGATGACATTTGATTCCGTTTGTTTTGTAATTAGATGTTTCTCCCCACACCACCGAATGAAACAGCACGCCATCGTTAGACATATTACCTTTATTGCAATAAAATTACAATAAATACTGAATATCAGTCAGTTCAAGTCAGTTGTTGGCGCTGTCTATATTACCAGTGCAAACGAGTGTTGGTATTTATAAGTGATGTATCACTGATGAGTTATCAAGAACGTATGGCCCTTATTTCGTCTCTATTTCTGGTTATGTACTCGATGATTGAATGTCACAATGTTTGACCAACATGATATTCAATTTTTTTTTGTGAAATTACTCCACTAGTGTGTAATAATAATAAATTATTAATACAAAGATCGAACACTTAGGAAAAATCCTTCGGTTTGGCTGGATTCGAACCAACGTCTTCCAGCAAACCGTGCCAGACGCTATGCCAACTAAGTGACGGAACGAACTAACGGGCCATACGCAAAAATATTTGAATATCACGGTGGTTAAACATTCAATAAACTTTTTTTTTAACGCGCACTCACTATAGTCCCGCACTATGGAAATCTTGTATCGCGGGTGCCATAGACAATCACAAATTACACCCAAACTCACGAGAGAAATAAATGTAGGCCATACAAATATTTCTCCTGACACGAGAATCGAACCCTGGACCTCTGCGTGGCAGTCCAGCATGGTAACCGCTCAGCCACAGACGGAATCAATATGGTATAATTATGTACGTGATGTTTTATGTTCTTGTTGGTACCTATATATATCGCTTTTGTTTTTTGTGGAAGTGGTTACTTTGAAAATCGAAACATTGGAATGAAAGCAGTGAATCTAAAGCTCTAACGTTACCAAAAGCCGTTTTGATCCTTATAAACGTTATCCCTGTTTTCCCAGGTAGACCTACATAAACTCTAATTACCTTGTACGACAGCAGGGTAGACAAAGCCTGAAGGTATGAAGCCCTCTTGCCCATCACTTCTTACTATCCAGTACCAGTCTGGGTCTTCTCGGTTTAACACTGAAAAGAGGATGATTATAATGTATTATTAGGGTTGGCATTTGCAAGGATTTGTCGGGATTTTTTAGGTTTAGGGTAACAATTTTCAGAAAAAAAGCCCACCTCGCAATTCTGTAGTAAAACTATACGACTCTTTCTTCTTCTTATCTCTGCTGACGCGTGAGAGTGCAGATATTTTCGATGTTTTTTTGTTACTAAAAATGTCCAGATTTTCTTGCAAATGTCAAGACTACTAAAATTTCGTTTGATAACTCCAAATATGATGGACTTTTTTTCTTTACTGGTGTTTACATATTTCCACAGTCTCACTAAAGACAAGGAAGAATAATGGGAGACACAGATTAATTTTATTCATATTTACATTAAATTCACAATACACACATGCACACACAGTTACACTAACTACACATACTCATCTTTTCGATTATCATTTGCACATACTAATACTTGCCTATACCTAAGGTTGCTAACGAGAAAAAAAATGTATGATACATTTAAAAATATTTTTTTAAGTTTAATAATATAACTACAACAAAGATAACTAAATTGTATTTTCTACCTAAATAAAACACTCACTGCTCCTGTACACATTTTCGCCTTACATGATTTAATTCTTTGTGATTTTTGGTATCTCACTGAACTGATTTAAGGTAAGCATCCACAATAAATTATTTAGTAGTAATGATACGGCTTAGCGGCCTAGTGGGGAGAGTCTGCTTGCGAAGCCTGTGATCGCAGGTTCACATCCCGGTTAATTACTTTTATTTTTCTTTAATGTAGAACTTTGTTTAGGCACCTATATGGATTAATCATTCGTTTTTGGTTAAAAAATGCGTTAATTTTTATTCTATATATTTAAGCCCTTTTAGCCTATGTTATTAATATTTACGTGTAATATTCGGTATTTGTTGTCTATAGAATAGTTCAAATTGTTTCTGTATTAATTCATATTGTAAAAAGAAATCTCGTATTTACTATACTTTATGTTTATTTTAACATTAACTCTAACAGGGTCGTTTTCAGATAACCACCAAAAATGTGTCTCTTTCAATAACTTTTACGTTATTACATGAATGCTAAACATTATTTATTTAATATGATTGCTTGCTTACTTAATCTGTGTTACACATAAAAAGACTACTTTACTACGCCACAGTAATTAATAAAAATTAAAAAAGTGGGCAATTTCTCATTCATGGGAGCCGGTTCCACGTCGCCCTAATTTTAAGAAAAGAAGAAAAAAAATCAAACACTCGTGGAAATCGCAATATTTACCATCGAGGATAAACTCTAATAACTTTCACGTCGAATACATACCGTAACTTTCCAATTTATTATAAACAAACATATTTTCTTGGGAATACAAAATGTGTTTCAATTTTTCTTATCATTAGTGTCACTTCAACTAAAAGCCTCCTAATAACAAAAGTTAATACCCCATCACCTTCACCCTTCGCACACGTGAGAAGGGGCTCCTGTCGGATTGGAGTGTATACAGTGAAGTAACCTGTGCATTTCCGTTTTAGCAAAAAATCTACTTAAATACCAATTTCAGTGCTAGTGACTAAATCGTTCTCATTCATGTAAATCAATCTTAATAAGTTTATAAGTAATAGTTTTATAAACTTTATTGTACATCAATCAGACAAAGGAACTATAAAATCCATGCACTTTTATAACAGTCCAGCATATTTTACACACTTGACAATTAAAAATGTATTCAAATATCATTATTGTTGCTCTCATTCTTGTCTACTTTTAAGTCAAATAGTTACTTTAAGCCAAACATTTACTTGAAATATAACAATTAGATGGTGATAATGGTGGTGATGACGGTGGTGACGATGATTGTGATTAAATGATTGTGATGATGATGTGAATGGTAATGATGCTGATGATAATGGTGATCATGATGATGATGTTGATGGTGGTGATGACGATATATTGATGTACAACAAAGTTTATATGACATTAACAAAATACTTCTTTAGATTTATTTATTAATTACATATAGATAGATAGATGGTCTTACACGGATGAGAAGGATTTTGATACAAGAAGTTATATTAAAATATTGGTTACATGTTAAATGATGTTAAATGTTCTTTTTTGAACGATAAAATGTGTGTTCTAATAATAATTTCTCATTACTGTGCCGTCTTTCTCATTTATGTTTATGAAAAAATCATTCGTGTTACTGCAACCTCATTCGTATGACCTAAAAAAAATTTTGTTGTATTTAACTTAAATATTTCTGTGATTTTATAATTATTGACATTGCTTGAACTTATTTGTACGATTAAGATCTTAAAACCAAAAGAAAAAAGGGTTTTATAAAAATGACTCAAAAAGTGCCATTGAAATTCGGAAAGTGAAATTCATCACACACACAACAACATGATTGTATCGGATTTAATTCGCGTACTTTGTTCTTTTCAGACAAACCAATGATTTGGGTTCTTCACAGGTCTCATGATCACGATTTATATAGGTATTTAGATATTATGTTTAACCAAGAATTTTTATCAAAGGAGATAATCTCCTTGCAATACCTGTAACAAACTCTCCTCTTTCTACATCAACGTCGTTTTCATCCCTCGCCTGGAACGTGTACAGAACGACGTATCGTCCTGAGGGGTCTTTGCTGAATGGACATGCTTCGCCTTCACTGCCCAACTCCGAGTGCCCATCATTTGTAGCTCCGTCTGATACGGATAATCTAGAAATAGAACTTTCAAGTATTATTAATTTGTTTTATTTTTTGTGAACTAACTCCACTAGTTTGTTCTAATTATCAAATAGAAAAATACAAAGATGGAAAGTTAATAGCGTCGCGTTTGGTATAAAAGATTCCTAATTTCTGCTCTAGTTTGCCTTTGAATGACTTCACCACGTGTTTTAAAATATTGAGGATAAGAATTGAGAGATGAGAGAGACAAATATGCAAATATCCCTAATGATGCATGGCAAAGGCAATAATAGTCTTTAGCCTTTTGAACGGCGGTTTCTAACTATCATCGAACCACTCACCGCTAATCGTATTCGAGAGAATAGTGTGTTCGAGATACACTTCTTCTGGACTCTGAAAGCGCTTTTTAAGACTACTGAGTTGCTCCACAGTACAAGACCGTTGCTGAGCACGGATGAAACGTAGGTGATAGGCCGTCAACGCAGCTTGTCGAGAGACAGTTTGCCTTAGTCTTCGTAGAGCGAAACAAATCTATTTAGGTAGCAACATCATTTTAGGGTTAAATAGTAACAAAAAAAAGTTATGTTTAATGCTGCAATTTTGCCGCTTATACTCGATTACGTTCATGGGTCACATGTCTTACTATGGTATGATTTCTTTTTATTTTTCTTATATTTCGGGATGATTACACTCCCCATGATCACAAGTTGACCAGTGGCAGGTTTTTTAAACATTAAATATTTTTATTTTAATAATAATAGTAACTTTTAACTGGCGATACCCGTGACAATTAAGCGTGAACCCGTTCTGAGATATCGAAAAAATAAAAAGAACTCATACTGTGGTAAGAAACCTGTAATTAATTAGTGATGAGAATTACCATGAAAGTCTTCAAATTTATAAATGTGTGTATGATTTATTTCGTATAGATACAGACATCCTTTTCAACTATTGCAATAGTAGAAAAATGGTTACTTAATTTATGTATCAATCTATCTTATATAGATATTATAGATAGTGATATACATAATTGATCAATATTGTGACAAAAGTGTACAAGTGGTACTAAATGACACCTAATACTTTATCTGAATTGCTTTCTGAAATATCAGACAGTTAAACTTACTGTGAAACATCTCTATGAGCCAGGTCAGTCGGTGACCGGCTTCTGGGCAGTTTTTTCTTTAAATCGTGTGGTTCACATGGTGCACAGTATGAATGCGGAATAAATCCTTCTCTCCTTGACTCTGCTACTATCACATACACCCAATCATTCTCTCTATATAAGACATTAACTATTTGACCACGTTTTACCTGAAATAAGTTGTATATTATGTGAAGTAACAAATTTTTCATGAATAAGTAAGATAAGAATGATTTATCAGAAAGAGAGTAACATTGGTGTAGTCAACATTCTTTCTCTAAAAGAAATTTTTAATTTAATTCCTTCATTAAATATTTCTACTTAAATAAACATAACAAACAATAATAAGAAATCCCAAAAATTCTTACTTCAAGTTCGTCATCAACACAAGGAGCAAAATCATGAAGTACCACCATTTTAGAGTCTGGACTAAGACCGTGCTCCTTCTCAATCCCAACTCGGACTAGTGTCTCAATGCTAGCAGAGCCTGTAATTCGGCCCATGCCCGGGCTAAGGCCAGAGCCAGGTCTTGATAAATCTTTGTCTGAATCTCCACTGCTGGCTGTAATTACAATGGAAAATGTGTTATAGCTGTTTAATTTGACTCATTTATTTTTTTGTGAAGGCCAAAACAAAAGATCAGATGAGAGCTCATATTCTGTAGACCAAAAGCTAGCAACAATTTCCAAGTTACTTTAGACAACATCCATTGTACGTATGTTGTGTATTTGTAACTTGATTTCAACTTGCTCGGTCCACTCCTGAACCCTTTTAGTTGCCAGATTATCTCACGAACAGCCTACACACGATGGAAATGTAAGCAAATTTTGTATGAAGTTGTTGACCTCTGTGCTTCCATCCACTAACTAAAACGTGGCTAAGTGATAAGTGGTAAAATATCTGTGTTAAATAGCATAAAATAGAACTCAAAATTCTCTATTTAAAAACAGTTATAACGTTCGGTACCATGACCGACATATCGAAACTTAGCCTAATGATGCATAACTAAATTATCATAAAACAATTTCAATATCTTAAAATGGTCTTTTATGAATCTTAAAATATGATTTTCTCATTATAGCTACATCATAGCAAATGGCAAAACAGTTAGCACTATGAGGACTAAATATGGAGGGCCCAGGCAATACTCTTGCTAGTCTTAGTTCTCAATTTGGGTATAGCACTTTCATGAATTGGAGCTGGTCGGTCTATGCAGAATATTGGTTATTTATAGGTATATAAAGTATGTAACTACTGATTGCTATCCAAAGATATCGTAAAATATTAAAAATCCATGATGGCAAAATCCATTGAGTTGCTTGAATTATAATATTTCCAAATACAGTATTTATATAGTCTATACCTGGTTTTATATATATGACATCTTTGGTGAAACAGTGACTTTACTTACATTTGTAAAGATTTACAGAAAATGAGTTAAAAGCTGTATTTTTTGTTTTTCTGGGCTACATAGCACATTTGAAGATTAAGTCAAGTCTTTTTCACAACCCATTCCAGTAACTTTCTACATAGGCGTTCTACATAAACTGAGGATTTATAGGGAATAATTATGCTTTGTTTTTATTATATGTACCTATGTAATGTTTCTGTAATAGCAATAGGTGAAGACTGAAAATCAACCATGCTGAATTTAATATTTTTTGTCCACATTGCTGTCTTGTTTAATATTAATGATTCGCTTGTATTATCTTTTATGAAAAATGACTGTGAATCTTTTTGTTTTATTTTTACTTTATTATTTTTTATATTTAGTTGTTATGGTGATGTTATATCTGAAAGTCGGAACGTAAATTACTGTAATAAATTACTTTTATTTATCTTTTGTTGTTTTGTTGGTAACTTCTAACCAAACTTATAGCTCTAGTTGGAAACTATAGTTGTTAATAAGAAAAAAGAAATTAACTCATGAGCATCGTAATTGATTTCACACAAAGTCAGGTGCAATATCATATGATCAAGTTACAATCAAGTAAAACAAGACGAAATACTAGTTTTATATGAAATTATGTAGAAAGTCCAAGAGGTCATTGACATAAAAGTTCTCACGAAAGCTCAATAAAACTTACATTTCTTTTTCTTCCCCCTTCTGATTCTGACTGGACACAAGAACGCCATATTGTTTTACACATAAATTAACACATATTTCAAGAAATAAAATAACAATTAGCACATCATTCGATGTTTTTTTGTTACAAAAGGATTTCACAGTCTCTACTTGACAGTCAGAAGTTCACAAAACAACTTTTTTTAAAAGAGCGATGCGTTTTGTCATTGCTCGTTTGGTTTCTAAAAGCAGAACTCATAGAATTTTGCATTTAATTCGATCGGTGTATAAAACAAGAGATTGCTTTTTGTAATACTGTTACTTAATCAAGAAATTAAAATGCTTTTATTTTGACATTCTTTTTGTGCTAATTATGTACAAATTATAGGGTATCTGGATTAAAAGATCAAACAAACAATTTTTAATGAAAAGATATTTATTATAGATCGAACAAACAAACATAATTATGTAATTATGATAAAGGCAGTTCTGAAATTATTATATAAACTTTCAACATTTAACTACAAGGTTTGTAATAGAAATTTCTGCTTTCGCATTCGTATAGACTTTGGCACATTCATAACATAACATATTAGCATAAAAATACCATTTATTCTATGTTAACATTATAAAATACAATTTATATATCTTCCTTTAACACTCTAAATTAAGTTTATAAATATAACATGTATCTCAATTAAATTCCATCTTTTAAAAAATATAATATGTAATGCCCTCCACATATAAAAAGCAGCTTATTTACAATATGCTAATTAAGACGTGTTTTAAAATTTGTCTACGGTACCTATATTTTCTACTAACAACAACAACTCTATAAGTGTGACAATATTAAGAATGTTTTCAGATGGTCTTTCTCCAGACTGCATTGTAACGTCAGTTGGGATGCAGTTTCAAACTACTTCCTTGTTTTTACAAACAATTTCAAACAGCTTAGTACATTTGACAGCGGCGATGCTGTTGGGACGCACACCATGTGCATCTTTACGTCTTGATTCGATTTTGCGCATATCTCAAACTTTGCGCTTTTCAACAAAGTTTAATAAGTACATCTAAAAATTGTTTTTTTATTTCTATTAAAATTAATACATACATAAACAGCTTATAAAGTGTGTAAAATATAATATTTCTTTATTTTAGTCTAAATAATTTATACCTACGAGCTTACTAACGTAAACATGATTTAAACAACTAACAATTCGACTTATCCGAAGAACAGAGTCCGATATGATTATCTAGCGAAAAGACAATAAGTACGTTACGAGAATAATTTCTTTATGCAAACTAAGGCCTATGTAAAGGTGTTTTGAGAGTTTATATATCTTATTTCGTTTCGGAAACATTAAATCGAACAACAGTCGATCTGACATCCACAACGAAGAAGAACGAACGAAATGTACTATGTCCTGAGAACAAGTTTAGTAGTCTTGCACATAGATCTTTGTTCTACGGATGAGTCGAATTGATAATAGTCCAGTTTCCCCTCACTACACATACATACCATAAGCCCTGTTGTCCCGACTACGAACACAATATTTTCAAAATACTTTTTAGCGGTATGAGACAGATAGGAAGTATGTATAAGCAGAAGTAGTAAATCTAGTTACCTGAAACTTTATTGCGAAAACCAGTTATCCAAGCATGTCGAATATTTAATAGCAAATTATTTTGATGATTATTATAATACAGGTTACAGGTCGGCTATATGATCACGTGGTGTAGGTAGGTACATTCTATAGGATAGGCCTCATCACGAGCGAAGCTAAGCTTAGCTAGCTAGCTCACATAGCTTTATTAAACATACGTAGCATTCATTGCCTCCACGGCCGAACGGTTACCATGCCGGATTGCCACGCAGAAGTCCCAGGTTCGATTCCCGGGCCGGGAGAAATATTTGTATCACCTACATTTATTTCTCTCGTGAGTTTGGGTTTGTAATTTGTGGTTATGTGTGTGTCCATGGCACCCGCGACAGAGGGTTTTCCATAGCGGGGCTATGTTGAGTGTGTGCGTAATATTATAACTGCATGCAACAAACTACGCGAACTAACCTATCTGAGAGAAAGAGAGAAATATTTGTATGGCCTAAATTTAATTTACTCATAAGTTTGAGTGTAATTTGTGGTGGGCTATGAGTGTGTGCGTTATTATTGTTGTTATTAGTTCGACTACGTGAGCTAAGCTATCTTAGCTTAGCTTCGCTCACGGTGTGGTCTTTCCTTATGACACAAATTAAATTATCATTTTCGTCCATTTTTCACTCCAAGGCATTGTCGATGTAGCGATATGCAATTATACTGTACGCTTTCATCTTTACAGTTCACCTTTATAGCTATATATATATAGTCTCCCTTCGATGTTTCCTTGTATAATGATTTTAGTAAATCGTCATGTTTTATCAATTTATCACATAAATAATTCGTCAAAATTTACAGATGTTGAGTATCAGTCAAAGCGTGCCACTGTTCATGTCTGTGATCAGGAAATTTGATACAATCCATCCAGTGCTTTAATCTTCTCCCCTTGCTGCTTGCTCCTAAAACCAAACTACCCAAAAAATCATTTGGTTTCCCATAATCCTTATCCCAAACCGTTATAGTTAAGTTTTGACGGGATAGTTCAGTTGGTCTGGTTTCGAATAAGAATTCTTCGTTCCACACCGGATTCAGATTACGCCATTTGATGGATGATTTGTGTTTCTTGTGGTAGGGGTCGGGATCCAAGTGTCTGTGAAGAAAATAAGTCGTTTTATATATTTTTTTCAGTTTCCTTAATTTAAAAATGTGCCACTATTTATCATCTTGTTCATACTGGGCGTAATCGTTAAATGTGCCCAGGCGATTATTCCGTAAATACCTATAAAAGATATCAAAAACTTTTAAACTGATATCGAAAGTACGTTATCTAATGAGTAAAACGAGATCAATAACTTTTTCAAAACAAAACGTTAAATGCTCTCATAAATTTAATATGAAATTCATAGAGAGGCTTTAAATACAAAATTTTGTACTTATTTCAAAATAAACATCAGTTTCTTTTTATTTGATTAAAAGATATTATTTTATTTGCAGAAGTTTCGTAATCTGTAAACTTATTTTAAATTTTTATTGCATTGATATTCAATTATTTTTTGTGAAATTACTCCACTAGTTTGTTGTAATCATTAATACAAAGATCGAACACTCAGAAAAAATTCCTTCGATCCAGTCGGATTCGAACCGCCGTCTTCTTGCATACCGTGCCAGACGCTATACCACCTAAGCCACGGAACGAACCAACGGACCCAATGAATTTTTCTATGTGCTTGCGTCGTGTCTTTATATTTGGTTTTTCAACGACTTTTTAGTCGTAACGTCATCTATAAAGTTATTGTTACAGCTTAAAGAAGATCAACTAAAGCATGTCTATGAGTGTCATATTAAATCCACGGAAGCGTTTAACGTTAACATTTAGGATTTGTTTTATGATACCAAGTGACAAGACGAGACAAGTGCACGACACTCCGTCATAGCAGTTGCAGTGACCTTCAGATGTTTGCCATTTAAAACTAAGATGTGAAGGGCACTGTCACTGCGCCCGTCATCCTGGGACAAGTTGACAAGTCCCATATGCCATATAATTTCACCACAAGTTATTGATGTCATTTTAGCCATTAGGTAATGTATTTTTGATATCAGTTTAAAGGTTTTTGATACCGGTTATTGGTATTTAACGAATAATCGCCTGGGTACACTTAACGATTACACCCTGTATACGAAATTTGAATGAAGTGGAAATATCTCTGACAACGACTTGTGTTTGTAAAGCTTCCGTCTCATCCGACCCCTATTCAGCAAATAAGTATTTAATTCCATCCCTTAACATACGCAAATTTAATAAAAATATATTCTTCAAATGTTGAGAAAATTTAATTCTTTTTATCGCCTAATCGCGTAAGTAAGATGTGAAATTACGTGTGTCACATAGTATATACTCACAATTTTACAAAGGGATCCGAATATCCATTACTGTCCTGTGGGGGTAAATCCGCACCCTTACAAACTGTAACAACCAATGCTCGTTTCTTGGTACTGTAGCACAGGGCTAGTAGGATCCTGGACCCAGTGGGTTCAGAGCCCGTGGCTCCTGATAGCGCTAAGCGAAGTTGTGCCGGTGCCTTGGCACATTCTCGGAGACATACGGTTGCTGATCCCATTTCGTCGTAGCCGTATCTGATTCGGAGAGGGAAAAAAGTTTACTAAATTTGCATTGAATTACTCCACTAATTTGTTATAATTATTAATACAAAGATTGAACACTTCCGGCCGGTTTCGAATCGACCTCTCCTGGTGAACCACACCAAACACTATGCCAACTAAGCCACGGAGCGAACCAGCGGACCTCACGAATTTTTCTATGTGCTTGATGTCGGATCTTTGTATTTGCTTTTCAACGACTTTTTAGTCGTAGCGCCATCTATGACAAATCTATGAAAGTATGTCATCACCCAGTTAGGTAACTATACAGCTACCAGCCCTGGCTAGAGATATCGCTATCATAGTCTATATAAATAGACTATATAAATAGTCGCTATATAGTCTGACACGGTTTGCTAGACGACGTCTGTTCGAATCCGACCGGATCGAAGGAATTTATCTAAGTGTTCGATCTCTGTATTGTTAATTATAAAAAAGTTTACTGTTTTATTTTTTATTTTTCGTTCGAGCCAAAATCGAGTACGAGAGTGAAAATTTCTTGGAGTACATACCTAATTCACTCAGTCATGTTTTTAGTGTCGTACTACATCACATCACTATATCTAACCGTGTAGATATAGTACAGCATTGTCGCGAAGCTGCCAACATCCTGTACTTATACTTTAGTAGGTAGAAATACGGGATATTGCTTTGTCTCCTTGAGTGTTACATTATAGCTTTGCTACAATCGTTATTCAGTTCGCTATGCGTGTTGATTTGCAAATGTTCCTTTTGGAGAGACTTATAAATCGGATTGACTACCTCAGAATAATAGACTATATCAGAATGTACCAAATTGCCGCTTTAATCTAGATCTTTCTTGTTCTACAGCAGTGTGTCATGTAGGTGATGTCAATTTCATAGTTTACATGATAGATAACTGAAGACTTCCTTGCTCCGCAGCCGCGAGGCGTGAGCGCGGTGAAATTCGTGTCGAATAAACGCGCCATAATGGAATAGACTGTTCGTGTTTTGTGTTTAAAGCATCGAGTATATAACCAGAAACGGGGACGAAATAAGGGCCATCCATCCCTGGCAACTTATCAGGCAAAAGGGCCTTATGTAACTTTTAAATACCAACTCTCATTTGCGCTGAAATCACAAATTAGAAAACTGAAATAGTACAGCGCCAACAACTGACCTGTGTGTACGTCTCTGTATATTCCAAAAATATTCTGTATTTATTGTAATAAAGATAATATCTCTAACAATGGGGGCTGTTCCATTCAGTGGTGTGGGAAAAACAGCAAAACATCTAATTACAAAGCAAACGAAACACATTTCATCGGTAATTAAATATTAAATATGTTATTTACCAATTTTCGTCCATTAAAGCGAAGTTCAAGTTAAACTAGTCGATTTGAAGTGAAACAATTGACGACACCCGTCAATTGTATGTATGTTTCGAATTCGAACTGGCCGATCGGGGCGCAGTTGTCAGAATAATGATTTGGCAGAATACTTTTCAAACAAATTAAATGACATTTTGTCTTTATTTCTGGTTATAAACTCGATGGTTTAAAGTAATATATGCTTGTGTCAATCTGTAACGGCTACTATGTTCCGTGTCACGTGTGTTCTGTTGCTGGATCCGCTGAAAATCAGCGTCGTGGCATTTGACGTGAGACGATAACAAGCTGAGTGAGTCGCGGTTTCCTTGGCAGCACAGCACACACACTTTGAACTCTATTAGAATGTATTTAGTTCCAAATCCTTATGTTATTATTATCATTATAAGTATTATTGTTATAAATTACAAGTGTATTGTCTTGATTATTCAAGGAATAGATGGTTTCTGTTCTATTCTACTCTTTTTTAGGACAAAGGAACAATAAGTTATGCGCATGGTGGTAAATGACATCACAACCCATGCCACTCAGAACTTTAAATCCCGAAGATCTGTGGGGTATTGTCACTGTACTATGTAGTTTCGCCAAGAGCCATACTCCTTTGAAATCGGAACTTAATAATTAAGCTCACATTATAGCTTGATGGTAGAAATAGATGTCATGGCAGTATTTCCCTGGATGAACTCTTTCACAAGGAGCTCTACTGCTACTAACTCTTACCTATCATCATCAAATAGCACGATTTCCAAAGATTTGTTCCCAAGATCCGACTCCGTGATACCGAAGAAGTGGAGCGTTTCGTTGAATTCTGGATTCTTTGTCTTGTGTACAGTTTTCGTTCGCATTCTGTTTGAATATGTACCTTCTGAAAATAAATGTATAATAGATTTATGTACGAATTTAAATATTTATTGTGATTAATTAATTGTCTTTGGACTAAGTGTATAATATACATATATGTAGATACGTAAGTAAATACAGAGAACAGGATAAAGATAGAGCAGAGTGAAATATGTGTTTAGATGAGAAAAGATTGAAGATATATCAAATTATTCAGATTTAGATATATATTTATAATAAGTGATAAAATGGTTGTTTTTTTAATTTTTAAATATCTTTTTGTAGTTGACTAAGTTTGCGAAAAGCCCGAAACGTAAAATGCAAAGGTCTGACGGCAGGCTAAAAACCAGTTTTGAGCGATTTCAGTAAATATTGAAACTGCACATACACACACAAAACGCCCCCAAAATTGCATCCGAGGCCTCTATCGCCTAGGACTCTTCAGCGCCCACTGGGGGGTCGTAGGGTTCACTTTGGGAAATTATGCTCTAACTAAGTCCGTATAATAACACCGTTTCAATTTAGGTATTACTGACAGTCCTCTATGCAGAGGGTGCAAGGGCACATCCTACACTACAATGCTCCAGCGTGACGTGTCCAACTACAGAGAGAAATAATTTGGAATGCCGAGGTCGCTCCCCGATGTCTTCAGCTAACCCATGAGGATGCTGAGATTCTTGGAGGAGCTCGGGTGGCACGAACTCTGTACCCAACACATGCAAACCGGGCGCCTAATGTTTACTTGCGGGTACCAGACCCGTGCACCATATGATACCATAATACTCTTTCTTTCATGTGACGGGACGAACATCGTGCGGCTGATAAGCGACACCTGTTTATGATAGATGCAGTGCTGCTCATAGCTTTAAATCACTATGATTTGAGGGGCGCTGCCACTGCGCCCGTCAATTTGAAATATAATATGACAAGTCCCATGTAAAAATTTCACCAGCACCCCCACTCTTCAAAAGCGGAACACATTAATGCTCGCATTACTGCTTGGCGACAGAAATAATTAAGGTGGCAGTACTTCCCTGGGTGAAGTCTTTCACAAGTAGCTCTACTGCTACTAAAACTCGTAGAAGTAAAAACAAAAAAGGAGGACGACGTCATCATCGTCAAAGTACTTAATGGAAAGGTTTGTTACATAAATAAGTAAATTAAAACATAATTTATTCCCTTTTAAACTGGGTGCGTATAAAATGTAAATGGCGGTCGAAGGTAAGAGTATCTTAATGTGTGATTAATTAGAACTTTTTATCGATATCATTTCAGATTCTTCTCACAAACACACAGGCATTGCGGTGCACTTACTTTGCTTAGCTTTGGAACTGGAATTGGTACTTAAGACTATAAAAATTTTGTTTGGCTTTGTCAATAAAGTTTTTAAGGTAACGTAAGGGTGCTGGTGAAATTACAGGCACACGAGACTTGTCAACTCATGTCGCAGAGTGACGGGCGCAGTGGCAGTGCCCCTCGAAGTTTTGCGATTTTAAACTCTGAGTGGCAATGCAACTGTTATGGACAGGCGTGTAGCTTACCATAAGGCATTAAAAAAGTAGATTTTATTTTTGTTAACTATTTTCGACGTAAATTGGGATAGTTACATTTAACCTGAATGAGCGGAAAAAATTCAATAAATTTAAATAGACTAATCCTTACCTCGTGGCAATACCTCTAGTCTACAAAATGGGTCAGATAATCCAGTCATATCCATCCCAATTAGACCTCTGGCCCTCAGTACAGTTACAGCTAAGGACGAAGTAGAATTGTCGTAAGCCAATTTAATTTCTAACGTTCCGAAACCAGCGTCAGGTATCGTCGGCGGCCTTTCAATTTGTGTAACTGGCTTAGGAAGATCTTTACGAATGCTGCGGAGACTATAAGCACTGCCTTTGCTGCCTGTTCTCTTTAGAGTGGTTAGTGGGCGTTGATTGAGACTTTCTGTACGATGGAGAGAAAGGCCGCTGATTCCGTGGGTTAGGATGTCTGTTTCACTCCAGTCATAGTGGCTGTCCTGTAAGAGAATTTAAACAAGATGTGAATTAACCGATTTTTTTATATAAGTTCTTATGATTGAGGAAGCCTTTGTCCTCATTGATACCATTTACAAGGGATTAAGCAGACTGCAGCGTTTATGTGTTCAGACGTTTATGTACTCTTGTTTGCATATATTGACCGACGCTATCGGCACCTTTTTTGTTTTTCGAACCTCTTACGCATTAGATCTCAGATGCAATATATGACTGAAAATTATGAACGAGAATACACAACCCTTGAACGCGTGATCGCCTTCTGACTTCGATTTTCGAATGCCAAACAAGATTATGAACCTATGATAAGAATTTGTGGTGTAGCTTTAGAAGCAGTTGAAAAGATGTAGTTAGATACTTTCTTACAGTATCTAACAACGTATATTTCGACTTGCCTGTAACAAAAATCAAATAAAAAATATGATTTCATACATTTCTCACAATAACCAGAAGTCAATAATTGTTTTTCATGACGCCACTACACGTGTAGGGGATTAAGGGGTGCGTTCGAGCTCGCTGTGATGGATCATGCCATTTGCCCTTGTTTGTAAGCGAGGATCAGTCAGGTCACATGTGCGTAGTATTAAAAATTATAAAAGAACTGTATTGGTTATATTAAGGTTCAATAACAGTTTCGCATGACATAGTGTCCATGACGGTAAAACAACAATAGTGAGAATTAATATTTTGTACAAACTCGATATATGATGACAGATTTGTATGAAAATATGAAATTGATGTCTTCAGATTCGTAATTTTATTTTTGTCTGAAGTTTGCAGCAACTTTGATTATATTCCACACATCCGTAAGCACGCACATACATTTGTGACCGCTTGCATAACATAATCACAGTTTTACAAATGTACTTGCGCAGAGCAACCGCAGGGTGCTCAAGGGGAGTCGGCGGGGCGGGCCGCATCCTGCAAACACGCTTAGTTTGCCGGATTGAGCGCTAAAGGTTGACATGTTCGTGTTTTAAAATATCGCACTGTTAATAGTGTATTAACTCAAAAAGACTATTTTTCAAAATCGATGAAAAATTTATTGTCGCCTTCTTGTGAAAGATAATTAAAATTTATGTACAGGTTAAACTTTATTATTACAGGCATCTAAATAATTATCTTCTATCTAAATATTTAAAAATAAAAGAGAAAAATAATTTAATATTTTTGAGTAAAGACTGTTTCGCCAGAAATAGATCACATAAAGTTTGTCTCATTTTGAGTTAAGTAGCTATATTTTAATTATTTCATACAATATTGTAACGACGGTTTTAAAGAATAAAATTTTACGTTCAGAAATCGTATAACCTTGAATTTCACATATTTTGAGTTACAACATTATTGTAATAGCAGTGTGACTATATTATGAATACGTTCAGCGAGTTCTACGAAACGATAACCGTTGTATACGTATATTATGGCACATATAAAATGGTTTTGTGTACAGTATAATTCGAAATAGAAATACGTAACAACAGCGACATAAAATTTCATATAATTATTTGACTAACAAAGTAGGATTATAAAGTAGAATTTAATTCACGGTCATGCTTATGTATCCTCCATTGTTTTGTGATTAAATTGTGCATCGGAAGACAAATACAGTCAAATTTAATAACAGAAAGCTGAAGACATAAAAATAAACTGTCACGTAAATATTTGTCAATGCAACACTAGCAAATCTTTATTCCTAGATAAATAATTATTGTATATTACGTAAGTACAATTGTTATTTATGTACAATTACAATAATTATTGTAATTGTACATAAATATACATAAATATTTCCCCGAGGTCCGTACCCTGTGGCATCGTGCTCAGAAGGCTTGCAACATTTCCCGTTTAAATAACTTTTATTATATTATTGTTATTAAATACTTACGTTTTTTTTCATTTTGTGACAACCCTTGTACATAGCCGACATGGTATTTAGTTTCCGTAACAAAGTTTCTATTCTCATAGAACAAAGAATAAATAATTTTGTAGTTGCAAATTTTTCATAAAAAAAAAAAATTCATATTTCATCATAGTTCTCTCTAAAGGAGAGCCGTGTTATGTACTGCTACATACTGATTTTTATGTTAACACTGTGACAGGTTTTATTAAAAACATTATATAGTTTTATCTATATTGGCTCAGCTTTGAGGCCGTGATTGCTTTTATTATAGACGCGCTGTGAGTAGACAAACACAACTACCTTGCCCAACGTAAATACAAAGAGGGACTGCTTTTTGGGCATACTATCGTGAAACGTAGGGTGAAGTTTAAACCATTTAGTTTGACTGCAGTATTCATTCATTTATTTGTTCATTGGACCGTATGTTTATAAAAGGTCTTATTAAATATATTCGTGTTTGTACGGAACCCGTTAGGGTACTGCAAGGTTTAACAATTTGAAAGAGGAACTTATAATTACTTACTCACATTACAATAATAAGGTACACCATAGATTTTTTTTCCTATATCTATGAGGTACACGCAATTCTAACTTTTACGTTTTATATATATATTAAAAAAAGGGTTTTTCCTTCGTTTCCCTTCCGTTACAATTGGTCTACTTTCCCGATCGATCCCCTTTCGTTCGTTCCCTTTATACCTTCAAAAATAAACTCAGAGAGCATATTTGGATGTTGCAAAATACTTACGCCTGGACAAATTTTATTTGTGTAACGCACCGAGAAATACAAAATACATGAAGACAGAGTGAATTTTTGAAAACGCTGTATAGGGATAATATGGCATGTTATTTTTCTAAATTAATTATGTTATTTACGTTACACTTATTCAATTCGCATCCTTTTTTGTAGTTTTGTCTGTAAATTTTTTCAAATCGGCCACTTCGAAAAAGGTCCACTGAAATCCAGGGCTATGGCCCCGCCGGACAGTGGGCCCAAATGGATAATTCTTGAACATAGGAATAACTTGTGGAATATCGAGCTAATTTAATTAAATTAATTTTTTTTATATGATAGATAATAACATTTATAACAACTTTTATTCTTGTATAATTTCTTGAAAAGTTGATAGTTTCGGAGAAAAAAAAATATTTTATTTTGTATGGAAAAATGTACATTTTATTTTTTATTTCTTAATGTAGGAAAATTTAATGTGTGTGGTTTATTCACAGTATAGATCCAATCATTCTCTATCAAAAAAAAAAATCCATCTGCAGGTTCATTTCATAGACGGCTTCCAGGCTGCACGTCTTCCATTAAATACTCTGTTAAAGGAATATCAACCAAATGGCGAAGTGCAGTAAGTGCGAAATTGCTATCAAGCATGAAGACAGCGCTCTTAATGTAACATGCAAGTCGCGCGGACTATACTGGCATGTCGCATGCACCACGTTACGTACTAAGCCGCGCGATGTATGCAACTGGCAGTGCACGTCGTGTAAGACAATTAATTCTAAGAAAACCAAACAGGCTGATCGTAGTGAACCCTCTCCAACCACGTTCGATGGCGTCAGTATATTTTTTTTGTGTATTTTGGGCATTGTTGGTTACTTTGGAAAATAGAATTGCGAGTGCTGAGACTACGCTCGTGGAATTAGAGGACATTTCCAAGCAGATTGTGAGTCTTCAGCAACGGGTCTTCGACTTGGAAGGGCGAAACTTGGTACTAGACCAGGCCGATCGTGTAGGTAACTTAGAATTACACGGGCTGACTGAATATCCCCAAGAAAACCTTGTGCAGATGGTCGTACGAGCTGGCGGTGTAGCGGGTGTGAAAATAACTGAAACGGACTTGAAATGGATTGGTCGTGTTGGATCTAAAGCTAAGGGAGCATTAAAACCTCGTACCGTATTAGTAAAATTCCACAAACAAGACATAAAGAATTCACCTCTCCGTGCATTAAGGAAACGCAGGGGGATTAAGCTGCAAAAACTTGGCTATACGGAGGAGTCTAAGACGATGCATACAAGCGACAACTTAACCCCACACTTCAGAGATATCTGCCGCACCGCCAGGAAAGCCGAAAAGTTCAAGTTTGTGTGGACCTACAATTGCCGGAACTTCATACATGAGACTGAAAATTCTGATTTAGTTCTGATAAAATCAAAAAACCAACTGGAAACACTACTGATTTGAACTTTCTTATTATCTTAACATCTACATTCCCCTTTCTTTCGTCATAACAATTGCATAGTATTCCACTATTTCATTGACTTAATTGTATTATTTGATTATATTTCGGAGAGCATCCACATTAGCACACAACGTGTACGTAAATTTAGCGTAATCGTCACACTCGGTTATAGCCTCAACAGTTTTGCGTAGGTATGGTCCACACGCCGCGGTCGCTTGTTGCTAACGCGCTGTGTGTTGTTCGCATCGATCTACCCGTTATGTTATTTTTTCCGTTCTTTTCGTCGTATTTGATTCAATTCCCATTCTATTATGTTCGCAATTGTACAGTATACCAATTTTACTATTATTATAACACAATAGAATTCAATTCATATAACAATTAAACAAATGATTAAATAAATTATATAATAATAATCATACTTAATAAATTAGTTATTTACAATGGTTAAAAGAATTAAAAGTAGACTATTTACACTTGGTTTATTAAACGTACGTTCTCTTAACATTGGTAGAGATGAACTCATAAAGTAAATTAAATTGTTAGTTTTTGACATTCTTTGTCTAACGGAAACTTGGCTTAGGGCAGATTCTGACTTGCGTTCATATAATGTTTCTGGGTACAAATTGATGCACAAACCGCGAAGTGTACGCCGAGGTGGAGGGGTTGGAGCATATATGAGATCTGCTATGCGTGTAAAGGAAATTTATTTACCCAGTTCCGTACTTGAACAAATGTGGTTGGAAATCAAGCTTGATACAATTGTAATTCTTACAGGTATCGTATACAGACCCGAATATATTGGAATTAATACTGCTATTGACTGTATCAACGAATCTTTATCCGTATTGGCACATAAATATGAACATCTATTTTTACTAAGTGACCTAA